GTGATTCAGGGCAGGTGAGTTCCCTGCTTTGCGTTGTTTGGCCCTTACAGCGACTCCGGAGGCAGGTGGCATTACTCCCACTTTACACATGAGGCTGAAGGCTTCAGGAGGATAATTAATGTGGATCAGTAAGCGCTGGAGTAGGCATCTGAGCCTGCATCTAACACTCTCGGCTTCCTCCCTTTAAGGTGAAATAATGCCATCTGGTAGCAAATCGAGGCTGCTGATAAGGTGTGGAGAATGGTTCACATAGTAAATGATAGTTAAAGTCATGGGGAGAAATCAACATTCTAGGACTCAGTAGTGTAAGAGAGAAGGCAGAGAGTTTGTGACTGAATGTTGGAAACACACAGAGAAGGATGGAGCAGTTGAAGAGGCTCCCAGAAAGAAAGAGGTCAGAGGGCTGGGGATTGAACCTGGATCTCCCCGGGTCACAGCAGCCATGGAGGAGAGGAAGGTCAGGGATTCAAAATGAAACTGCTGATGGATATCAGGGGGAAGAGGGCAGGGCATGCTGTGCTGGTGTTCTTAGTAACCCTCCGCAAACAAAGGGAGATCGGGTGTGTGAAGGGTGGTGGGTGCTGCGGGTGGAGGATGGGGGAATGCTGCCAGTGAAGGGTGGGGGAGGGAGCAAGGTCTGGGGTGAGGCGCAGCCGTTGACTCACCTGCTGGCGCACCCTGAGTGTGCTTTCTGAACCAAGCCATGAATGGGGAGAGATCAAGGTGAAGCTGCGTGACTGCAGGGGAGAGACTGAGGATTCCTGTGAGAGAAGCAGCTGGCAGTGCCTGGACACTTCTGGAAGCCTAGGCAAGTGAAAAGACTCTCTGGCATAGTAGACATAGTATGGAGCCGAGGGAATGGCTTTTTCATCAGCCAGATGTAATGGTGGCAGAATGGACGAGTAAGCCCTCTTGGGCCCTGCCCCTTCTCAGGAAGCCCACGCTCTCCCGGCCTGGCCACTCACCAGGACCTGTGGACGAGCTCACAACCCTCTCCACTCACATTGAGCATCGCAGGGTGGTGGGGGTTGGTCCTAGGTCTTGCTTCTCTTCTCAGGCAACCTCACTAGAAAGCCCTGGTACTATGAGTGAGTGAGTGAGTGGGGATGGGAGAAGCAGATGCCCACTAAGGACTGATTGCAGTGGTTCAGAAGGTACGATGCCAGGGCTGGGCTCTGGTGTAATACACCTGAAAAGAAGGGCACATAGGATTTGAATTTTGGGGGAAGAGTAGCATCCTAACCAGTGACATTTGCATGAAAAAAAAGGGGGAGAGATGAGTGAGGTGTTCTCTGAGATAGGAATGGCCTGGCTGCCTGGAGTAGATGTTCTGCATTGGGAGGTGGGCTGGGATTGGTGGATGGAGTCTTTAAAGGCAAGAGAAAGGAATTCTGCGTGATACAGGGAGCAACGGGAGTCGTCGTCTCTGGTTCTACTTTAGAGGAACTTGCCGGAAGATGAAGGAGGCCAGCATGGGTGAGAGAGCTGAAGGGCTGTGGTCTGGGGGACCTCTGCAAAATACATGTGAAACAGGAAAGCACTTGCCGTTTTACAAGGGTCTTAAAAGAACACCATGTCCCCCTCGTGTCTCTAATCATTTACTCCCATAAATCTCCAAAATTCTTACTGTAGCAAGTACACGCACTTAAAAGAGGCTTTGTTACATAATGCCAGAACATAAGATGCCGTATTGGGTAAGTACAGGGTTAAATATTAATTTTTTTCTAGACTGCAGTTACTTCCTTGTATCAGTATTGGTTTGTTTTAATGGAACTCGACAACACAGCAAGATTATTTGAAGTGGGCCTGCAACTGACTTAGAACCAAAGCGTTTGTTCTATCACATAGGCTTCTCCTGGTACCTGTTCAGGCACTTGAATGGTCACTAAACCTCCTTGATGTCTGTTATCTCACTAGACTGTAAACTCTTTCAAGGCTATGGTAGTAACTTAGTCATTGTATATCCTCAGCCTCTGGTTCATTGATTTTTAAACAGCCGTTGGTGGGTGGGTGGAGAATGATTATATTAAAGTGCTTCTTCTCTACGTTGTTACTCTGATTGATGCCTTAATTTAAGTTTATAAATGATTATTAATACTCTGGATGTCAGGGTATGTGCATGGGTCATTTAGGAGGGAGAGTGTAGTTACAGCCACACTTCAGTCTGATTTATCACTAATCCTGTAGAGGGATTTGGTATTTGAGCAGTGAGGGCTGTGCATTAAAACTGGTTGTCTCTTGCTGTTAGGACTGGCTGATGGGTGGATTCTTCAGCGGAGTCACCAGTTTAGAAATCGGACAGAATAGGTCCCAGCCCGGCACACAGAGCTCGGAGGGGCCTCCCTGCCTTATCCTTCAGTGGTCACGTTAACTATCCCTTCCTCAGCATCACCTGTCCCAGCTGTCCCCCGAACTCGCTCTGGCTGTCTCATTTGTGTTCTCATGGGACCCTATTTTCCTTTATTGCACTGACCACAAGTAGTTATTGAAGTGGTTATTCTGTTAATGTCATCTCTGACCAGGCTGTAACTGTCACAAGGGCAGGGACGTGTCTGTCCTTTTCCCCACTGTGTTCTCGTCAGCTAACACAGCACTTGACATAAACTATGTTCGAGATAAATGCCTGTGGAGTCAGTGAACTGTGGTAAACTTTGACAGGTCACTTAATCTTTATGAGATACTGTTTTCCTCATCTGTTTAAAACCTACGTATTCAAAGTTTTTCTCTAAGGTTCTTTTGTTCAAAGGTTTATGTTAACTCTTTGAACTTTTTAAATTAAATTATTCACACCCATAATTAGAAGTTCAAACAGTATAGAAGATTTAAATTGAACGTGTATGTAATTCTTCAATAAAGATAAGAAACATTAAAAGTTCCCTATCTTTACAAATAGAGTAAAAACTGAACTCACTAGTTAGTCAAAGTCAAACCAGCCCATACAGGACAGGATTACTTTCCTCATTTCCAGCTCCCATGAAGTGGTTTTCCTTTTAGTTTCAAAATATTTAGTGCTTTAGTGATGGGGTAAAACTTTCATGAAGGAATCTTTGCTGAGAACAGGTGGGGCCAAGGCCTCTAGCTAAGTTCCCCTTGTCACCTGCCCCGTGCTTATTTATAGCTGTTCCATGGAGGTTTTACTGTTCCTAGTGAGCCTTTGAAAGTCTCCTTTCTAGGATTTGAGGATCACTTCCAGCTGTTGCTTAACAAAACAAAAACCCAAGCCTATATGATTTCAGAAATGTTTAAGTACATTTGGATATGTAGAAAATTAATGAATGTTCGCCTGAAGAGCTGCACTTTCCTGTGGAGTTGTTTGGTCTTTGGGTGGTTTTGTAAAGCTGAGGGGAACCCTTGAAGGAGTGGGATGTAGCCAGGTGGAGCTTCTTGAGTTTGAGTGAAAATTTATACAATTGCCCCTAATGGAGGAAAGACAGAATATAAGTATGTTAATCCCCCAAGTTAAAAAAAAATTCTCAAGGAAAAATGAATACTCACATACGTGTCCATTAATCTGACGAGGGAAAATCTGCTTTGGTACATCTTCCAGTTCTTTATACTGAAGAGAGAGTGAGGGAGACCATCACATGCCTGCCGTGGTGACCAGGTGTCTGTGTTTTGCGGTGGGGGGTGCCCACTTGGTGCCGAAGGGTGTTCAGAGATAGTTAAGGTCATGATTATATTTGAAAAATCGGTATACTAAAAATTCTGGCTTTTATCTATAAGTTGTGGTGATTTAACTATAAGTACCAACATGCTCTCCATTAAGTGAGGTCAGTGGGAAAGTGGTTTTGTTCATGGACCGTGGGTTATAGTGGGTTCATATAGTCAGTTTGAGTGTAGTGAATGGAGGTAGAAGAGCTGGGGGATCAGGAGCGATGGGCTCACGTGCCCTGGGACTCAGCCTCTAAGTGGCTCAGGGCCAGGCATCAGGGACAGCGCTCTGGGTGGTGTTGGCAGGGAGCAGCTGTTTACTGACAGCCAGTTACTTAAGAAGACAACTCATGCCAGGTGGAATCCCTGGGCTCTAAAACCTAATGGAGTCAAATGTTAAGGTTTAAATGAGCCTGAGTTCACAAAGATAGTAATTGTGAATTTAATGTTAACCAGTGAATTGCAGGTTAAGTGCTTGAGTACATAGTGCTCGATACCTCGCAAGTGTCCACGTGCACATCCCCCTGCTTGGGTGAGTAGGATACAGGGGCTGACTCCGCACCCCTAGGAAAGGTGTTTCTTCAATATTTTTGTTACCATTCACAGCCTCTTGCCCTCCAGGGAGGAACCTAGGTGGGAGACAGTTAAAATAGCAGTATCCCCTCTGCAACCCTGTCTCTCGCCTTCTCTCCCTTCATGACACTCCTCATCCACCTGTGTCTGTTTCCCACCGCTCTGCCTGCTTGTCTGTCTTGTATAATCCCTTAAAAATAATACCCTGGTAATTTAATGACTACCTACAATGTGCCAGACATTTTACACACATTATCTCAAATACTTGGAACCCTGCAAAACAGACATTATATACAGCTCGATTTTATAGACTTAGAAAACTAAGACTCAAAGTCACAGAGCTAGTGATGGGCAGAGTTGGCATTTGAAGAAAATTCTGTCAAGTTTCAAAGTCCATGTTCTTTCTGAAAATAACACAAACAATAGTTATAATCATATTTACTGAGCACTTAATGACCAGGCAGTGATAAACTTACAAATATCTTGTTACCTACTGAAAAAAAAAAAACTGAGAAAGGAGGACCTGAAGATCAGAAAAATGTGACTTGCCCAAGATTATTTATAAGTAGCACACCCAAAACATGAATCCATTTGATCTGGTTAAAAGGCTTTTCACCCTCTGGGCAACCCCACCAACTGAAATTGTGTGGAAGTGGTGCTCCAGGTGAAGTAAAACCCAAGTAAACAGTTAAGAGCAAGTATGGTTAAGAGGAGCTGAAGGACAGAGTAGGTTGTAGTTTAACTAGAATCAGACTTCCCATTTCTTTCCTTTCTAGGTATCAACTTCCTCTGCTTCAACCAGCAAGTCTTCCAGTATGAATCCCACAGAAACCAAGGTATGAAGAGTCTTCAGAGGTCGACTTGGGTGAATGCCTTAAAGTTGATTACACTGTAAAGCTAAAGGAGTGTGGATTGATAGTTGACAGATGAGTTCTGTGTCCTCGGAAGCCTAGGTTATGGAAGTAAACATTTTCTTCCTGATTTATGAAGGTCTTTGGAAACTCAGCTTTCCTTTCAGTGTTTACCTCAGGCATCATCTACACTCTTATCTGTCATTTTAGAATATCTAGAAAAGAATAGCAGCCAGAGTTTTTTTGGTTGTAGACTTGATTGATTTTTTTTAATTGTAAGATAATTTCTCTAAGTACGTTTCTCTCAATCTAGATAAGAATATACATTTCTTACTAAACTGGTTTTATTATCCTGTCCATTTAAAACCAAATATAAGAATGAGGAAGGTTACACTAAATTAATATGGAAAGAAGTGACACAGATTCTGGTTATCGCAAATGCTTTCTGAAGTTTCTTTCTGAAACTTGAATCCTGTGGGGTACCATCTTGTTGCTAACCTTGTCGAGCTGTTGGGATTTATTTTGGTGATAATTTCTTGGAATTTCAGAAGAAGAAGGAAAAAAAAAGTCCTCCAGTGGGATTGCCACATAGAGTAAGGCTAGTTCTGAAGAGTTAGCTGAGCTGCCTTAGATCCTCTCCCCTCGTTACCGGGTCTTAAGGTCTGTTTCTTGGGGATGTTCTGGGATGGAGGACTAAAGAAGGGGGCGTTTTCAGGATGTTCTCAAGTAATTCTTATAAGCTAATATTGTTCAATGCCTTTAAGAACTACCCCAGCTCCATTATTATTAAATTGCTCTTATTTAAAATCACCAGCATACCTCTGCTTTTTGTCTTCCTATTGCTTTGCTATCCCAATAGAATCCTGTGCTGTAATTCAGTACTGGCACCATAATGGAGTACTATTGAGGGATCCTACGACCTCATCTTGAACTCTTTTTAAAGGACATTGCAAATATCTTGAAGCACACTGTTCAAATCTAAGCTCTTAAAACAGTCATTTAGCACTCTTTGTAATTTTAAAATTTATTTTTAAAGTTATATTTTTGTTAATTTACATTTACATTAATTTAATGGTTTTCAAAATATACATTTTCTGATCCATAATTAATCTGTTAGCTGTCGCTATTTATTTATGCCAAGCTTAATCTTAAAAAATAAAAAAAAATCCTGATCTTAATCTTAAAATAATCTGAAGACATTTACCAAAAAAAATTTGCCAAGGGAAAAAAAAATTCTCTTAGAACTTAGAGTTCATGAAAATTAAAGAAAGGAATCGAAAGGAGAGCCAGAAATACACGATTTCCCTTTTATTATTTTGGTTCGCATTTGATCCAATGCCTGATTCTAATCCATCCCCACTGACTCTCAGCTCCAGGAGCAATGTTTATTTCAAGTGTGCTCTGTTTTCCAGAGCAAGTGTCAGCAAACTCTTCAGTCATTGCTAAGCATGAATCGTGAGAATTCCTGGCAGTCCTATGGAACTGGAGGAAAGGAGGAGAGAGAGAAAGTAGGAGGAGAGAGAAGAGAGGGAGAGACAGAAATAAGATGCACATGATGAGGTGTCATCGGTGGCTGACTCAGGATTCTCTTTCCTTGGTGGATTTCAATCACATTGTGCTCATTAATCATCTTACTTTCAGGTGCTTCTGATATTTAGCTCATAACATTTACATTAGCTTCCTCTTAGAGATTTTTGTGAACTTCATAAGCTTTTAGAGAAAAGATGTTAATTCAAGATGATTCCTGTATCACATCCTTCTCATGTTCTACACCTTTAAAATGAAAGTCAATGTAGCTCTGAAGGGAGGTGATAGGTCTAGATCTAAGTTCTCTTGCCCCTGTCATATTAGAATTGGTAGTCACACTGCTGTGTGTAAGACAGAAGTTCAGATCACTGCTAATCAGGATGAGATCCTGGAGAAGCTATGTAGTGTGGACACTAGAGCCAGACGGCTTGGCTTGGTATCCTAGTTCACACCAGCTATGATATTGGAAAACTCCTCTTTGCTTTCATTTCCTTATCTGTCCAGTTTGGAGGAGGAGGATAATAGTACCTTTCTCACAAGGCTGTGTAAGGAGACAAATGTAAGGATACTGAAGAGTGCCTGTCCACAGCAGGGCCCGGTGGGAGCTGGCTGGTACTGGAGAGACCATGCAGTGCAGTGACTGAGAGCACACAGCCCCAGCTCCACTGTGGGTGTCCTTGGGAAGTTACTTAACTTCCATTTGTCTCAGTTTTTCACCCATGAAGTGGGAATGATGATGGTGATGATGATAATGATACTCACAGTACCTGTCTCAAGATTATTATGAGGACTGGGAGAGTGGGACTAAGTTTAGAACAGGCCCTGCTACTAAGAGGCTGTCGATAGGCTTAGTTATTACTGTCATCATTATTATGTTCAGCAGCAGCACCACCCCCAAAATAAAGTTTGGAGATGCGTTAGCGATTACTGATTACAAAGTACATTTCATTAGAAGCTGCTTGTGTCCGTGAGTATACATTCTTAATTGTATTGCGGAGTTCTTTTATGCAAAATATTGACTGCCAAATTACAATTAGAAGCTATTAACAGACTCAAACCATTGCAATACCAGCTGACTTATTTTCCTCGTTAATCATTTAGTAAACTGCATTTGCATAAACTCAAAAAAGCATAGTAGCACATATAGAAACTCCTTGAAAGGATCCAAAATTTCAAACTTTAAAAACATTTCTTTGATCATGAACTTTATTTCCTTCCCCAAACAGTAAGTGTGTTGGCATGGCAAGGGGGTCCATTATGTGAGGAACACATGTACTTCCATCACTGAAGCAGAAGGCATGATAAATGAAGAGGATATTTGGCATTAGTCTCTTCAGAGAATGGAATGAAAAACAGGAGTCTCTGCTGAGATCACCAGGCAGATAAAAGGGAAAGAAATGGCAGGAAGCATGAGGCCTAACTTTGAATCTCTTACTTTGAAAAGTTCACAAAATGTTGAATCAGGGTTCGTTCTTGTTTTCATATCTTGCCTGTACGGAGGATGTATGTGTGTATTTAAGGAATTGTCTTTTTTGACACAGGTAACCTTTGGTTGGGTGAAACTGTGAAATATTCCACTAAAGATCCTAAATCACAACCAAGTTTTCAGAAGCATTCCTAGAACTTTAGATTAGACCTCTACATTTTCATCGTACAATAAAAACCCATGCACTGTTACAAATTGTATGCTGACAGAATTTGAGAAAACTTTTGACAACGCCTGTGACTATTCATTTGATCATAATCAAACATTGGAAATACAGGTGGAAAAAATACGGCTCAAGCAGCCTTTGCACAGAGATGGAAAGGTAGGGAAAGGGATCAGATGTTTTTTATCAGTGGGACTCTTACAGATTTCCCGTCACCAGAAAAAGTAAATCCATACTGAAATCTTTGCTTGAGACCTTAGAATTGAAGTACCCACAACTCCTTGGAGATGTATGAATATATGATGCAACTGATGAGTAGAATGTGTCTTGGTATAAACATTTTAACCCTGTTCATACATGTTACTTATTTGACTGTCAGATAAAATAAAGTCACACTTGGGGCTGTGCTCTTGTATTAGGCCATGCCAGTCAGCAAACAGCTGGAAGGACAGCAGTCTCCTAAAAAGAAAAGGCACAGAAAACAGGTGATGTGGTTCGTTGTACTAGGGGAACACTTCTGTTTACTAATGGTCACTTCAGCTGCTCAGCACGAGCTAATGACTGCAGCTCACAATCTCTGCAATGCTCTAACCCATCACAGACTTTGGGGTAGCTTGGTTACCCATCGCTCACAGTCTGGCACTAAAAATAAATTTCACTGCCCTCTGTGCTCTCCATTCTGTCACCATCCCGCTGTTCACACCAACACCCGAAACCTGCGGTGAGTATTTCATTCATAAAGAGATCAATCATGCTGGTGCTTTGAAGGGTGAGGGTTTTTATTTCCATTTGCTTATATATTAGCTACAATGTTCATAGTAATAAAGCTTTATACATCTTTCGTACACACAGAAGATGCAGGTTGCCATTTGAGGAGTAAGAAAAGCACACTCATTAATGTGCTTGAGTGTTTAAAGAGTTACAGTTCCAATAGAAGTGTAATAATCTTAATTCATATAAAGTTCATATTAACAAATCCATAGAAACCATCTTTTTATCTTCCTTAGTTGAAGAAAATACATGCTAAACTTTGTAAACCATGTCCATTTTTCCTTTCTTTTTCTGAATTTAGGCTGTAAAAACAGAACTTGAGAAGAAGTCACAATCAACTAAGGTAAGTGATTTAGTCAACTAGTGAGTTAGTTGGATTCTTTACAATAGTCGTGAATAGCCAGTTTTTTAAAGAAATTGTCAGCTAATTAATTTTGGATTATCCTTTGACCATAACTATAAAGAGTGTATATAAAATAACATTAAATCCATATATGGTTAAAATGAATGTATATTTTATAAATGAAAGCAATATAATTCAGAAGCCATTTTGTTCAAATCTAGATTTCTGTTATAGATAAAGTAATTGTTTTTTTTTTTAAATAAGCAACAAGAACAAAGGACAAGCAATAACGGGTAATGAGTAGCCAATTACCTTAATGATGAGACTTCAAGAATAGAGGTGTCTTCTGAACCCAACATCTACGTAATGTAAAGATGAGAATCTCTCCTAAGAGGCCCTGGCTTTATCCTGATGGTCTTATCTCTGTTGGTGGAACTAGTTATCACTCAGGAGACAGCTCTGACTCTCCCTTGGGAGCGGCTTCTCTCACTTTCCTGACTCATGGCTGTTTGGACTGAACCCCAGGGTGCAGGCAGGGCAAATGTTTCTCCTCAATAAGGTGTGTGCTTAATTTTTTTCAAGCACACTTGAGCAGATACTCGAATAAGACCACCAGGTTTCCTATAGGAAAGCACGAGATGATTTGGGCTGAAGCACTTTAATTGCAGGCGAGGCAGGGAGGTGCCATGTGAGTCGGATGAGGCTTACCTGATGATGTGCTAAGGCGTCCTGGTGGCCCGCTGTAGCGGGAGAGTGCAGCCAGGTGGGAGGTGTCTTCTGTTCCATATTTAAACGTTTTTTGGTTATCTATCCAATCTCAAAAGAGTTGGGTTTCTGGTGACACTTGTCTTCTCTACTTGTAACACAGAAAAGACTATATAAATCATTTAATTAAAAAATAGGTTCTTCTCCTATGAAAGGATATTTTTAAAAACTTAATTTTAATTTGTGGCATAGGATCTCCTATCAACAAACTCAGTGGTCAGTGATCATTTGACATCTCTGTGGATGGATTTGCAGTTACTAAATGATCTGCATGAATTGTGAGAAACAGCCAATAATTTAGAGATACATACCTGTTTGAAAAGTCATTCCAGATGAAATACAGCTGTTTTCATTATTTTTCTGATAATTGTCATTATCAGACTGTTGGTAGGATTTCTGTTGACCAGACAGCAACATCTGCTTCTCTAACTGGGCCTTTCCCATGAGAGGCAGAATGGCTTAATTGGGATTTTTGTTTTTAAGCCTGTTTGGAAATACGCAAACAATGGACTTCAATGTAATTAAGATTTTCTCTTTTGAAATTGACAGCCATCTGCGGTTCATGAGAAAAAAGCCGAAGAAGTAAAGCCAAAGGAACACACAGAGGTAAATGATCATCACTGGGACTTGATATCATAAGGTGAAGCCATTTTTTCTTCTTTTCTTTTTTTGTGAAGAATAAAATTCTGAGCTCTGAGCGTTCAGCTCTTAAGTCCTACCAAGGATGGCTGGTGTTTGTTTTCCCAGCTAAAATGGCACCACCGTGTGGCATTGGCAGGATTTGCAACTTGCCCATGTGATTCTTGCTAAACTGGGAAGGAAGGACTTGCATTGTTTCCAATTTTGTACCCAAAGTGAAATTGTGTCACATGTATATCGTACTAATTTAAATAATTTTATAATTCAAAACTATGTAAAATGCAGCTGTTATGAATGCTTTCTACTCTTTAGAGAAAAGTAGCAGTATTTGCTATATTGTTAACAATGTGGGGTGTGTGCCTGTGTGTGTTTTCAGCCAAAAAGCCTACCTAAGCACTCATCAGAGGCAGGAAGCAAGAAGCATGCTCATAAGGAAAAAGCAGTTTCCAGATCAAGCGAGCAGCCCACATCAGAGAAATCAACAAAACCACAGGTAAGTGAAGCATATTGATTGGAAAACACTAATATCAACTCGAGAATAAGATACAGATCCTCTGTCTACATTGATGTGTGTGGGTGAACCTGCAGAGCTACGCCGAATATATCTCATATTGTAATGATTTGATGCTGTCATTTTGCTGGTGTTGTGAATAGCCTTGTGGAAATTTGGGACTGAGACAGGCCTGAGAAGGGCATCAGGTGGGTCTGGGGCGCCTCTCCGCTGCCCAGTGGTGCCCAGTTGTGACTGTGAGGCAGCAGGCTCTGGTGTGTCACAGACAGGAAGCTTGGGATTGAGGCTGCCTCCTGGGCCCCTCTTACCCTGGGCTGTGGGAACACAGCTGCTCTGCGTGATCTGCTCTTTCCCAGGAAGCCTTGCAGTTTTGAAGAGTCTTGTAGGAGAGATCAACTTACAGAGCCAATAATCAGAAACACATTATATATTTCTAGAGCCAGTGCGGGTCACTTGTTAGAAGAATAAACGTCTAGGAAGATGCTTTTTTCATTGTGCACTCTTAGAAAACAAGAACGAGGCCTGCTTAACCATATACCTGTGTCAGAGGTTGCAAATTTGTGACTCACCAAATGCAACCACTTGTGCATTTTCTTTGGCTTGCAGTATTATTAAAATGATCTTGAATTAAATTCAGAATGTTTCACATAAAATGCACATTTCAAGCTTTTCTTAAAAAATGGGTATATCTGGTAAGAGTGGGCTCACATGGCAACCATTGACTAGAGGCTTGGCACCTGGTATGTGCCCACCTGGCCCTCTTCACCTCTGTGTGGTACCTGCCTGGACTCCCCCAAGTTCTTGAGTCCAGCTGTGTGCGCCCCTCGCTGCATCATGTGCAGTGGAAGCCAGTGACCCTTCCCCTACAAGACGTCCACTAGGGGGAGCCAGCTTGGTAGCGACATCTGAAATGTGTGATCTTGAAAACAGTCATTCGAAGATACTTAGTTCTGTCGCTCTTTTATCCTTTAGACTAAATCACAGGACACAGTTTCCGATGGTGGAAAGAGTGCAGTTTCTGGTGTAGCTGCAGCATCTGGCAAACCAGCTGACAAGGTGAGCACACATCAAAGGTATAACGTGTGATGGGCCTCCTGAGCACCTGCCACATGTAAGTCCTTGGTATCAGTACCAAGGAGATTAAAATGTGGGTGGATTCAGATCCTGTCTTCAAGATTTATAGGTTTGAAATAAAGCAGATAAAATTGCCACGAACATTTGAAAAAGTATTACACTCAACTTTCCATGGGGACACTTGCTATCTTGAAATTAGGAGATCACGTACAGTGCCACCTCCATGAACTGATACAGGAGGTTTCCCCAGGAGCATCACAAGCCCTCTCAGGACATGTGCCCTGCTGGCTACTTATGGGCAACCCCCATGGATCATTTGAAGCGCTCCTTCAGACTCCAGCCGAGGAGTGTGAGACAAGAAGTCTACTGTTTCTACCCAGAGCTACACAGAGTTAGCAGTCAGAGTTAGTGATCGATTTGGAGGCCTGTCTGCCTGGAAACGCTAGAACTTACTTCTCTTGAAGGTACAAGTAACTAATTGGACCATCAGTCAGAAGAAATGAAATGAAATGAAAATGAAAGCAGAAAAAAAGTAGGGTGTGTTTATCCATTTTCCTGCTTTTCAAAATGGGAGCAGTTACCCCCGTCCACAGGCTAGATGGTAAGGAAAGTCATAGGATAAAAGTATGGAATATCTCCCTGAAACCAATTTTTCTCAGTTTGAAAAAGAAAAGGCACGTATTTATTTTTCTCCAAACTAATGCAGATATCCCATAGCATGATGGCAACATTTACATAAACTTTTAAATGAAAATACTCATAAAAGAAAAAGGTTTTTTTTCTGAGCAGACCCCTTGTACAGATCTTGAGATCCCCACCCCCACCCAGACATACACTACATGATGAGAGATACTTAGATGACATAGTTTAGAAAATGGATAGATTGAAGGCAGAGGACTAGCCCTGTAGATTTATACAGAATAGATTTAAGATTTAATCAAAATCTGAAACTTTATGACAGATATAAATTAGCCAGGATTATCAGTAAAAGCTAAACAACATTAGGTGAGGTTTGTATGGAATTTGGCTGTGCATTGACTTGTGCTGGGACTTGCGCAAATCATTTCACTTTTCTTTACCTCTGATTTATCTCCCATAAAATGGGATTGACCAGATCTGCTTTTTTTTTTTTTTTTTTAAAGTCCATACCATGTGTAAAGCACTGTGGACTGTGGTCTGACTCTGCAGAGCACTGAGCTGCAGGCTGGCCTTCTAGTGTTGGGAGAAGACAGTGTACCTGGGACTGCATTCAAGGCAGATTAAAACAGGTCCCCACAAGGAGCTGTTGGAGGAACAGAGGGCTTCTGTTTGATTTGGGGGAACCCACGAGGACTCTGAGTAGATCCGGTTTGAGTTCAGCCTGGAAGGATAGTGGGCTTGCGGTGCAAACACATCAAGGTAGGAAAGCACATGATGTGATCTGGGCACGAAGTGCATTCCAGTGTGGGTGAAGCACAGAAGGGGTCAGTGGTGGGGCTGTAAGACAAGAAAGACAGGTTGAGGCACTGCTGTGGAGAATGCTAAGGGGCGTTCATCCACATGGTCGTGATACAAGCCACAGCAGGTAAACATTGAAGATTAGCGAACAGATGGAGTGATGAGATTAAAACCAAGCTGTAGAAGGATTAAGTGACCACAGTGGCTGGGATGAAAGGGAATAGAGATAAGAAGGTGGGAGGCAGGTCAGGGGCCGTTTCAGTCTGGTGAGTCTGAATTGAGGCTCAGTTACAGCTGAGATAGAATAAGTGAGTGGGGTGCAATGCAGGAGGTGTTACACAGGTAACACCATCAGATTTTAGGAAATGATTGGCTGGCTGCAGTGGGCAAAAGTGAAATAAAATCTCACATAACCTGGGGCTTCGGAGTCTGAAAGAACTAGGTTGGTAACCCTGAGGGGAGGCAAGGGGGCAGGAACCTGGCAGTGCAGGGCGAGCACCCGTGAGAGTGAGCGCTTCCTTAGGCTGTGAGGCTGGCCCTGGTCACCGCTGACAGGTGCACGGACGTCAGAAGGGGAACTGGCAGAGGAGGAAAAGTGGCGCCCGATTTTGGACAGGCTAAATGGAAGTGAGATGTCCCAAGAGGGATTTGTAGCATGGCAATTAGAACATTGTTTTGGGGTGCAGAAAGAGGGAGAGGCCGTGAGGGAGAGGAGAGAGTAACTGAGTGAATTTCTGCATGAGGTTATGGTTGAATCAAGGATGTGGATTCGGTTGCCAGGGCTCAGGCGGGCCCTGCTGGTCCCCATGGTAGCTTTAGTATAACAATTGCGGCAATCACTTTTTTAGCTCTTACTTATATATCAGGTACTCACGTTGGGCTTAGCATGTGCCAAACATTGGCTTTCATGCTTTATTTAATCCTCACAACTCCCGGCTGTGGGTGCATTCACTGTCCTGGTCCCACACAAGCAGATACAGATGTTCAGAAGGAGATGTGACCTGCCCGAGGTCTTGGGCAGCCAGTGCCTGTAGGCTGGTGTGCACACCCGAGAGTCTGAGCCTGTGCTCTCCACTTCTAAGCTCTGCTGCCCAGGTTTCAGAGACCTTCGAACAAAACAGTTTCCTATTGTCTAGAACCTGACAACTTCGCCCACTTAGTTGCTGCCTGGCCCTGAAAGCCCATGGAATGATGTGCCTAGGACCACCAGCACAGGCAGAAACACGCAGAATGTGTGTGTCGGGGGCAGAGCAGGAAAGACATCATAGGTGACAGAGAACAGAGGGCACAGATGCCAGCCTAGAACCAGGATGGTGCCTGGTCATGGCTGCTATGAGATGAGAGTGAGGGGGAGGGTAGAACTTCGGTGAAGATGATATCTGGGTAAAGGCATGGAAATCACAGATGGGAAAGTTATTGGCAATCATTGAAGCAGTGTTGGAAAGGACATTTATTTTAGGGAAATTAAGGAAGCAGTGGGTGATGAGATGCCAAAGCAAGACATGTGGAGGTCTTCATTGTGGGGCAAAAACTGAGAGAGCAACAGCTAGAAGTCTTGACTGCTTGTAAGAAGAAAGAATTTACGGGTGTTGCAAAGACTGGCTGTGGGCCCTGGGAGAGGCAACTGAGAGCAGTGAAGAAAGAGATGGGCAGTCCTGGATTCAAATCTTAGTGCTGTCCTTTACTGTGTGACCTGGGAAAAGTTACTCAACTTCTCTGAGCCTTGCTTGCCACATCACTACACAAGATTAATGTTATTTATACTGTTCTGGAAAAGGATGTAACACATACAACATAGTGTCTGGCACAGAGTAGATGTTCGGCATAGGATCAATGTTACTAACATAATGACATCATTTAAAAATAATATTGTTAAATTTTATAAAGGTAATGTGAGAAGTTTTTATTTCTTTTTGAACCCCTACCAGAGTAAAGAAAATAAATCATTAACGTCAGCTGTACCAGTTGAATCCAAACCAAGTAAACCGCCTGGAAAGGTATGAAGATAGCAATGCATTTTTACATAGATATTTATTCATAGTTGCTGTGTTTATCATGATCTGATTTCTTGAGGGCAAACAGTATGAGGTATGGATAACTTAAAGGACCTTTTTAATGAATTATTTTTTCAAGTTAATGTGGGTCAAATGTGTGATTTTCTCATATATAGCTATATATAACATTTTATATTACAACCCTCTGTTCTGGAAACTCCAGTTACATTGCATGGAGTTTACATTGCAGTTTCCCTCCTGTAAATACACCTTCTTTAACCAGAGGAATCACTAAGGAGAAGTTCCCAGTTGAATCAGTCTAAAGCTCACAGGCTTTACATTCTATCACATGATCAGATGAGTTCCTAAAATTGTAATTGCAAAAATAATGTAAATCCTCACTTTTAAGCTGACTTACGTAGTAAAGGGTCTTTCCTCCAGTTGTTGTTTTCCCCTGTAAATGCAGCTTATCCTTCACAGTGAATCATTCTTAACCTCAAAAACAGGATGGAGGCACTCGTTCAGTCATTACACTGGTTTAAGCCCATTTTGACAGAGCAAACTGTCACTTGTAAATTTAACATCCATTTCAGGGAATTTCTGTTTGTAAACATCTTCAGGCAAGCAAGTGAACAAAAACCAGAAATGAATGAAAGAACACAGGGCAATCCATTTCTGAAATAGATTTTGTTTGGAAGAATTGCCACACGGAGGTTTTGTTGGGACTCTTTGTATATGTAGCTCTGGGAGGCTGTTGAAAAGCAACAAATGCCAAGCATTTCTCTTCTTGCACATGGCATTATGATCATAATTCTTGGCACTCTTGGTATTGGTATTTTTTTTAAAACTGTACATTGGTCTGGCAGCTGTAATGAACCACACACTTGTTTTTGTAGGTAATGCCTTTAGACTTACTGAAATTGTGATTCTCATCTGAATATGGTTTTTTATTTTTCCAATCAAGAATCTGTACTCCGGGACTTTAAATAATACATGTATTAAAGGCTAGATTTTGACTATTTTGATATTTGAAAAAATGTTGGTGTTCAGTGTTTCTCTATGGAGATTTTTTTTTTTGGTAGTTAAAAAATCCAAAGTGAAATATATGTAGAAATAACATTTAAGTATCTGGTGTCTTTCTTTTCCAGTCAGGCATGGATACTGCTTTGGATGACTTAATAGACACTTTAGGAGAACCTGAAAGAACTGAAGAAGATAATACAATGTATACTGGACCTGAAGTTTTGGTATGTGATCTGGATGTCTGTGAAGATTGGTGCTTACTGAGTAGGAGTGCTAATAGGTCATGGTCATGATGCACAAAAGAATACATAATGTCTGTCTCTTGGAGAGAAATAAGATGATGTTTGTATCAGTAGAAGCAACTGAAAATTAGTGTTGGGAGTGGAAGAATAGTGTTGTCTTATGGTAGCTGTGTGATTCCATTGATAAGCAAACAGTGATCGGTTGTCTCTGCTGAGACTGGAGCTGGGATACAGACTGTCGGGTCACAAAGACTTGTTTTCTGCCTCTGTTTACAGCACTCCCAGCAGGAATCTGGGTTCATTGTGATGAGGAGCACAAAACTTGGGGCCTTCCTGTGAACACATACCCTACACGTGTCCCCCTGCAGCTCCACATGGCTGCTGGGAGGACCAGAGGGACAGGCCTCAATACTGGAAGAAAAGCCACAGTTAAATACTAAATAAATAAATACTAAATAAATAGTGGGGGAACTTTGCCATCTGCAGCCTGTCTGGTCCACGTATGAGTGGGCTATGAGTGGTCTTATAGACATGAAGGCTTTGAACCTCTTTTCAAGGAGAGAGATTCCATGTGCCATTCTGGAGTACAGAAGTTTCTTAGAGCAGTGAAAATACATTGTGTGACATTATAACGATGGATGTCTATGTCATTATACTTTTGTCCAGACTGAGGTGAACTGTGGACTTTGATGATTATGATGTCAAAGTACATTCATCCTTAGTTTAAAAAAAAGTACACTCTGGTAAATAAATAAATAATGACTGTGCATATGTGTGGAGAGGGAGTATATGGGAAATTTCTGTACCTTCCTGTTAATTTTGTTGTAAACCTAAAAGTGCTAAAAAAAAAAAAGTCTTAAAAACAAGAGAACTCGGGGTAGACATTTTTGGCAAAGCTTTGGTTTCAGTTATATACATATATTATATATGTGTGTGTTGGATTGTGATGTAAAATGTATTTTTTAGGTCAAAAAAGTTTGCAAGCCACTGTAGTAAGTTACACTGGCAAATAAAAGCAAAAATTAACCTAAAAAAAAAAAAAAGACTTGTTTTCTGTCTTCAAGTTTTAAGTGCAATGAACTTGAACTTATTTTGCTTTGCAGATATTTCCCATCCTATGAATTGAACTTATTTTGATTCCTAGATATTTACCACCCTGTTTATCCTTATTCCTAATTCCTAAAAAGCAAGAAAATTACTTGTTCCTCATATTTAAAAAAAAAGATATCCCATAGACTGGAAGAAAATACTGCAGCAGACATAACAAAGGATTTGTTTCTAGGGTTTATGAAGAATTTTTTAAAGTGAGAGAAAGACTACTCAGTAGAAAATTAGAAGAGAGCTTGGCCAATGGCACATGAAAGTCTCCCCGGTAATTAGGAAAATGATACTGAAATATGGAGAGATACCTTTTCACTCTTACCTGATGGGCAGAAGTGTAAAAGTCTGACACATCTGGCCTAGAGCCGGTGGATGTCACATGAAGATGTGCACACCCTCCGACCAGCAAGTCACTGGAGGGAGCCTTGGCTGGGTGCATAAGGAATTCTAGGAACAGGTGAAACCTTTGGAAACGATTTTATTCAACAGAAACAGTATAATACATGGAATACTTTTATAGCAGTTAAAGTGTATAATTCATGTATCAACATAGATAAATTACAAATACATAATTTTTAGTAAAAATAATACAGAATCATATATAGAATTTGATACCATTTATATAACACTTGAAAATTGGCAAAATAGTGGTGTATGTTGTTTGTGGATACCTACATGTGTAATAATTTTTTTTTAAATATTTTGAACTTTACATGGATGAATATGATAAAGTTCAGGATGGTGGCTTTCTCTGGAAAACAGAGAAAGAAATGGATTGGAGAGTGCTAAAGGACATCACCCTATCTGATTTTTTTCATAGAATACATAAGAAATAACTAGATCTGTTGAGTTTTGTAGAAATTCACTATTATTAGTTGCTCTTCTGTAGGTACAGAAATACTAGATAATAAAAATATTTAAAAATAAAACATTTTATATAGGAATCGAATTTAATATAATGGTTTGAATAATTTATAGCATTATTTGTAGGTTAAGCCAATTAAATGTGGGGAAGTATTTGTGGAAACAGAATTTCAGAGTTGAGTAAAATACTGGCTTCTTCATGATTTGTATTTCATCTTAGTAGTTCCAAAAATTAATAATGGAATAGAACTTTGGTTTCAGAATACGCATACAGCATTCTCGGCTAATAGCCCTGTGTGTATGATTGTCTTCTAGGATCCAATGAGTTCTACCTACATAGAAGAATTGGGTAAAAGAGAAGTCACACTTCCTCCAAAATATAGGGAACTTCTGAATGTAAGTTAAGTAATCTTTTATTTATTCTTTACTGTTTCTTTTTGGAATTAAATTTTTTTATCACAGCAGTATATTCAGTTTTTAAATTTAGAAACTGTAACAAGCATATGAAATGGTCATTACTCTGAAGCTCACTGTGAGTCTGCTAGGGTCGCCATAACAAAGCACCAAGACTGGATGGCGTGAACTGGCTGTCGCTCAGCTCTGGGGCTCCAAGACGGGAGTTAAGATGTGGGCAGGGTGCTTCCTTCTGAAGTGTGAGAGGAGATCCAGGCCTCTGTCCTTGGTCTGTAGACACCTACATGTGGAATAATTCCACGTCTCCTTTCTGCATGTACATAACCGCATGCCGTCTTTTCTTGATGTGGATCTCTGAGTCGTCTCCCCCTTTTATAGGAAATGGGCCCATCCTAATGAACTCATTTAACCTTGATTACCTCCTTGAAAACCCTGTCTTTAAACAGATCTCATTCTGAGGTAGTAGGGGAATAGGACTTCAGCATATGAACTTGAGGAGGTCACAGTTCAAGCCATAGCGTTCACTGAGCTATACATTTTGCCACTTGTAAGGATTAATTTCACCTTCTCAGCATCATCAAAATAATATTTGTTTCAGAAAAAAGGGATCACAGGGCCTCCTCCAGACTCTTCGGTGAGTTTACATAAATGTCTTCTAAGATTAGATTTAACGTTTCTTCTGTCTTTGGTTGGGGGATGGGGTTACCGATTCTGTATTTTGGGATTATGACTGAATTAATCTCTTACTCAGATGAAGGTTCCATCTGTCCGGAGGAGGGGGGTAGGCATGGGGGTTGTTTCAGTGCTCAGTGCTTTCCTGTGTTGTTTTTTGAGGGGAAGAAGAATGGACCCAGTAAAGTTTTAGTATAAAATAAATGTTAATAAAAACAAAATGAGAATATCCTAACGTGTAGTACGTTTGGAAGAGACAATCAGGAAAACAATATGCACTGAGCACATAGTTCTCTCCCAAATGTAGGCTTTCGTCTGAGTTACTTCATTAAACATCTCATTTGGTAGTGATGGAATTGCAGAAGTACATTCTTGGTTTGCGGGACTTATAATCTGACCTTCACGTGAATGATCCCCACGTGTTACCTGTGCTGCTGCCTGTTTCTTTAGAAACCCCTGGGGCCTGACGATGCCATAGACGCCTTGTCATCTGACTTCACCTGCAGCTCTCCTGCCGAGGATGGAAAGAAAACTGAGAAGGAGGTATTGCCTTTAATGTGATTAGGGAACCTTGTGAGAAACCATCTCAAACTTTCTGACAGCAACAACTTTTTAGTTCTGGTTATTACAGTTTGGTTAATACGGCTCCTTCATCCATCAGTCTAACCTTCTGTATCTTGTTTTGCAGAAATCTGCAGGAGAGGTTTTAAAAGCTCAGTCAGCGGGGATAATCCAAAGTGCTGCTCCACCCCATGAGAAAAAGAGAAAGGTGGAGGAGGTACAGATAATTGCATCTTGGCTCCCCCGGGCCGGTGTGGAGTGGTGAAGCCATCAGGGTTATAGGGGTCACCTCCAGGCAGGCCTTCTCTGTTTCTACAAATACTTATGTGTGATTTCAGCACAGTCTTCTTGGTGGTGGGACAGGATCATGTCACCCTGACACAACACAGAGGGGCAGAGCCCCAGAGAAGTCACACTCTTGGGACATCGGAGCTTCAACTTGTTTTCTTTCCTAAGGGAGTTTGAGCCCTGTGAGGCACTAGGGGAATGTCGCTGTAGCTGTTTCTGTCCGCCTCTTTTAACTCTGTCTTAATTCAGACACAGTCAACTCTAACTTAATTCTCATGAATCCGGAAAAGTGGCCCTGCCGCTCTGGGCTGGATGAGAAAACAGGCCCCAGCTTCAGACAGTCCTGATAATGCAGGGAGCAGTTTCTGTCGCTGCTGCTCTGCCCCTCGCTCCGGGAGTGGACGGTGTGTTTTTATCTGGGCGGAGGAGCAGAGAGAGCACCACGCCCCTGAGCGTGGGGGTTCCTACAGCTGTCAGCCCCTGTGCCTTCAGAGAAGAAGGCGGTGGGGCGCTTCGGGGCCTCCTGCTTCCTGGGCTTCGCTGTTTTGCTAAAGGACAGGTTGCCAGAAGTCATTTTTAGAGACCCATTTTTAGAAAAACAGGATAGTGAAAGTTTCCTCCTTGCACCTTTTATTTTGACGCGAGTGTTTTATAATGTGATTGTCGTAGTTACATCCCTAGCTTGCTGAGCAAGGGGTGACGTGTGCCTCTGAGAGCACTGTTACTTGTAGAAACAGGTCCTCACCCCAGTGTTTCCTCACTGGTGAGTTCTTTTTTCTTTTTGTCTTTCGCCGGGTTTCAGAGAAAATTGCCTTCCTTAAAGGCCTTCCCCAATTCACAGTTCATTCCTAGAGATTTAAAGTTTGAATTTCTTGAGAAGTGGGTGGATTGTTTGGGCTGAGGAGATGCTCTCTGTTTTAATGGGCAGATTTTTCCCCCCAGGACACGCTGAGTGATCAAGCACTGGAAGCTCTGTCAGCTTCGCTGGGCACCCGGAAACCGGAACCTGAGCTGGACCTCAGCTCCATTAAGGAAGTGGGCGAGGTACTGCCCTTGGAGTCCGCGCGCAAAGTCTGGTCGTCTGCAGGTTGCAGGGAACAAAACCAAACGCGCGACCCATGTTCAGAGTTCTTGCACCACTTTTGTTTCATTAGAGGTTTTAAACGAACTGTTCTTTGTTCTGCCTTACTTTCTGAGGCTGGCTAATTTAGATATTTATTGCTGAGGACTTAGCAACCGGGAAGGATATTTGAGTGTTTGTCTTGTAAACCATCTAGAATTTGAATATTTAAAGTGAATCCTAATCTCCTTTGCCAGTTCTCAAAAGACACCAGTCTCAACAAGTAACACGTAGGCAGTAGCCTAGTGAGAAATAGGTTTATCTGCTCTCATGGAAATTGGAAATTTGTATTTTCAGAAGGGTTCCAGGTGCTTCTTTTTATAAAGAGAGAGGGAGATGGCTGTCAATGGGGTGGGAGACCCTTTTCATAACTGTCAGGGGAAATGTTGAAAATGTGTCTCCAATTAAAATAAAATCAATAAATAAAATAATAAAAAATAAATAAAATAAAATTAATTTAATTTAATTTAAAATTTTTTTAAATAAAAATAAAATAAAATCAGGCAACAGTCACTTTATAACATGCAGGGGAGCTCCTGCCTGTTGAGACTGTGGTGCTGGGAGTGTATATCCCTCCACACACCAAGGTCTTAACAAACCTTTGGAGCCAAAGCAAGCTTGTATTCGGTGGGAAGAGTGTTTTTATATTAAATTACAATTTTTAAAGGATTATTGGACTGAGTCCCCTAGGGGAAGAGAGGAGGGACAGCAGAGAATTGCCCTGGGGACATTCTTGGCCAGGCCGTGTGGTGGGGGGACCCTCAGGAAAGCCAGCCAATCAGCTCAGGGAGGGAGCGGGCAGTTGTCGCTGTCACAATGCTGCTGTTCTGAGTCACTGGGGAAGGTGAGTCTCGCGACTCCTAGCAACTCCCCCTGAGTCTAGGACAGCCCAGGTCCAAAATGGGCCAGTTTCTCTCTTCAACTTTCTTTGAGGGCTCACGGGGTGCAGTGTGGCATGACAGGCTTTGCGAGGGCGAGCACAAGGGAGCCGGAGAAGCTGTCCTTGTCCTCCAGGACCAAGTAATGTACCGGAAAAAGGGAAATGTGGATTAAAACACAATACGAGGTGCACAGTGTCTCAAGGAAGGGGTGGTTGCGGCTGGACCCTGGGGGTCCACCACCCAGGGCTCCCTGCAGCCAGCCAACAGCACTGTGGCCTCGGGCTGTTTACATGACTAGGGTGATTTAATTAGATGACCATTTGGGGAGGGAAGGTATCAACATAAATCCCAGGATAAAAAGTCTCAGAGCGACTATAATTAGATGAGTAGATATCAAGAGTTACATTAAAAATTACCCATTTAAGCCATTTGGGTCTGAGGTGCATATAAATGTATTAAGTTTCCTCTAGAAAACCTCAGCAGCAAACTCCTCAAATTTGGACAAAAAGAACTCTTCTTTTTCACTCTCTTACACTGGTTTTCCTTTTTAATTATGTACAAAGTATAAAAATCTTCTAATCCTCTGGGTTCTTAAGCTGCGTTTTGAGTACCTGATAGCAAAGTCACTGCTTCCGGAGTGGTCTGATGTGACAGAGGTGGACACACTGGAGGGGTCCATGGCCACTCCAGCCCGTTCCACAGCAGACAGTGCTTCAGAGAAGTGGTCCATGCCTGCTTGGCGTTCTCGTAACGCATCATAACATAAAGCGTTCATTGTGCAGCGGTACCTCCTTGTTGCTCTCCCCTATGTCGGTGTGTGGTTACTTAGTCTGGTGCTATTTCAGTTCAGAAAATGTTTGTTTTCACTGCCTAATGTATACAAACCACAGTGCAGGCATTTAAAGAATAATGAAGATCAAAGAGGAATAGAAAAGATCTCACTGTGCATATAACTCGCCATCCACAAGCCTGAGTGGAGAGGACAGTCCTGCACAGGTGACCCTTTCATGAGGACGGCTTTGTAGCTGGGGACCTCACAGATCCCTGGACTGGGGAGTATCACTGTGTGATAGGACTTCCTCCGTATCCTGCAGTAGAGTATAACTGGAAATATTTTTTAAAGACAAATAAAAGCTTTTCACCCCTTATAGTCATTCTTCTGTAGAATAAAACTAGTTCCTGGTTATTGAAAGTGCTCAATAAATTAAAATTGATCAACCAATCAGCTAATTAAGCATTCAGTGGGGAACCACAATCTTAGCCTGATAAGTAGATGGGAACAGTAAAGTGAACTGGAATCAGCTAAGTACCTCCCCCTCGATCTGAGCTCCTCCTTGGTTTGTGATTTAATACAGGTACAAATTATTACATATCATGGAACTTCCCATGACTCACAAGGAGTTTAAACTGCAGATGTTATATCCTAGAAGCCAGTGATCTACCAGAGAACTGCGCTTTTATTTCTAATGAAGTTAGTTGTTCATGGTTCAGTAACGTAGTGAAGTCCTGGTGTTGTTGAAAGGAGTTCTTTTAAAAGAGGTAAAAACCAGTTTAATTATCTATGGATCAGCTTTGTGATGGGATGCGTCCCTCATTTCTGAACTGTGTTTAACAGTTATGAGGATTGGTTGTTTTCTCCCCGCTAGATAACTGCCTCATTGAGTAAGACAGATGATGGCTGTAAAATACTTGTAACTAACTTGTACGCTATGCTTAACTTTCTTCAAAGGATGTTTTATTTACTTTTCTTTGCCAGTCCTTAAAAGTCAACGAGCTAGGTAAGGATTCTTAGTAGCCCCATCTTACAGTTGAAGAAAGCGAGCTGAACAGAGTCTAAGTGGCTTCCCAAGGCCATTGAGACACAGCAGGGACACCTGCCTGGGATTCCCAGCTGTGTTATTTTTCTCGTCTCCCTGCACTGCCTTCCTCATCGCCCCTCACCAGGCACTTTAATCTGACTTGGTCTTCTCTATAACGCCTGTGGAGTACATCAAGTGATGTCTTATTTTACATGTATTATCCAAATGTTCATTTTTTTTCTCCACTTTCATCAGGCAAAAGCCAAAGAAGAGAAACTAAAGAAGTGTGGTGAAGATGACGAAACAGTTCCTTCGGAGTATAGATTAAAACCAGCCACGGTACGTTGTTCGCCAGGGTACGGGGCTGCAGGCTTCTCCTGCCTTCACATCACATTTTGTCCTGTCTGTCCCCATGATGTGTAAGGATATGTCTGTCCCAATTCAGATGTTAACTCTGAAAACCCCGAACCCTTGGTCCTCTGCCCTCTACAGTTGGACCCTTTAAAAGAGGGTTTCCTAAGTAGTGACCATGTGGTCATTAAAATTCCCACAGTTCAAGAGGTTCAACTATTTACCATGCTTGACAGAGATCCTTAAACCTAGAACAGAAGGAATAATTTAGGAATACTATTTCCTCTTACTGCTATATGGATAAAAGTACATAGATCTTCCAAGTGGTAAATAAATGTACAATTATTTACCAGTATCCTCAGTGAAGATGGTGGACTTACTACTGTAATTATATTTGTAATTTATCTTGGAAATAATACACATAAGCACATGATGGAAAATTGTTGCAGTGTTTATATATGGAAAATTTCTCATTTTTAGAGGCATTCTAAACTGTGAAACCTCGTATTGAAAAAGCTGAAATAGTTTCATAGGAACGAGATCTACCTTTTAACCCTGGTTTGGAAAATTGAAACCTTTTTCCAGTCTTTCATTGATACAGCTGCATCTTTCTTTGCAAAACTTTTTTTTTTTGATATTTACTTTTTTTTTTTATTGAAGTATAGTTGATTTACAACATTGTGTTAGTTTCTGGTGTACAACAAAGTGATTCAGTTATGTGTGTGTGTATATATACTTTTTCACATTCTTTTCCATTATTGTTCATTGCAGGATACTGAATAGTGTTCCCTGTGCTATACAGTAGGACCATGTTATTTATCTATTTTATGTGTAATAGTATCTGCAAATCTCGAACTCCCAGTTTATCCCTTCCCACCCCTTCCCCCTGGTAACCATACGTTGTTTTCTATGTCTGTGAGTGTTTCTGTTTTGTAAATAAGTTCATTTGTGTCATATTTTAGATTCCACATATAAGTGATATCATATGGTATCTGTCTTTCTCTCTCAGATTTACTTTACTTAGTATGATAATCTCTGGGTCCATCCATGTTGCCGTAAATGGCTTTATTTCACTTTTTTATGCCTGAGTAGTATTCCCTTGTATGCATATTATATACCACATCTTCTTCATCCAGTCATCTGTCGATGGACACAGGTTGCTTCCATGGCTTGGCTATTGTAAACAGTACTGCTGTGAACATTGGAGTGCATTTATCTTTTTGAATTAGTTTTTTTCTCTGGATATATGCCTAGGAGTAGGATTGCTGGATCATATTTGCCAAAGAACATTGAAAAAAAAATTCCTACTTCCCTATCCAAAAGATGGAAATTATTTTTTAGTAACTTTTAAAGTGCATTGTATTTAATAACATTCAGTCTGTTGATTTCTACAGCTCAACTCTTTTTTCTGTTATTTTATAAAAAATTAATTTGAAACACAAATTCACTCACATATATGGAAAAAAAGAACTTCTCTTATATGCTGGAATTCCTAAAACAAACCCAGTGGGACAAGAAAGCAAAATCTTCTATTTGATTTCAAATGAATTTTTGATTGCATTTGCAGGATAAAGATGGAAAACCACTCCTTCCAGAGCCTGAAGAAAAACCCAAGGTTAGGAGATAAGTTTTTTCTGATATTTATTTAAAACATAGAACCGTTAAGTATCAATTGAGATGATTTGACAGGCCAGATTTCACTCAGGAGCCTCACATGCCAGCCTAGTATAAGGAGAGAGGAACTTCTTACCGCAGCACGTGGCTCATCTCTCTCACTCCTTGCCGCGTGTATTAATGATTATTTTCCTCATGAATTATCACTAGACTATTACAGATTTCTAGGTGATGTGTGATGTTCATTAAACATTAAGGAGCTGATATCAGGAGGGCCCTTAAATTAGGTTGTTAGCACTTAGCTTCATCCTCATCATAGCACCAAATCCTCTGATTCTGTACTGCCTTTCCTAAATGTGTTGACCAGCATAGTCACCCATCATGATAATACTAAGTAGCCATGTATAGATCACTTACTGTATGCCTGACACTACGCTAAATGGTGTTCCTGTGTTAGCGTTTTGAGTCCTCACTGAATGGGGAAGGCACTTTATTATTCCCATTTTATAGGTGACGAAATTGAGACATAGAAGGGTTCTGTAAATAGCCCAAAGTCAAACAGCTAGGGAACAGCATGGCCAGGACTCGAAACTCAGTCTGTCCAACTCTGGGGCCCTATTTCTGAATCATATGCCATTCTGTCATGGGTTAGGGCATGTGGAGATTTTGACTAATCACAGTAAACAAATAACCACTTCACCTGTAGGAACTAGGGAGCGCAGAACTTTCCTGCCAAAACCCCACAGTCATAGGAAAGGAGACTATGATCTATGTTTCCTCTGACTTATTCATAAGGGAAGTCATTAGGAAGTAAAGGAAACAGTCACATAAGAGAAAACTGTACAAATTGGAAAGAACAGGCATTTTATTTGAGCAAAATTATGCTGAAATTGAAGTATCAGGACAACTTTTAACTAAACCATTAACATTTCTGTGGTCCTGAGGTGTTCAGGATTCCTTGTTTTCTGGAAGACAGTACCTTACATTGATAAATGAAGCACACGTCCTATATAAAGTAACTTTTGGTTTTAGATCCTAAAATATGACCTGGAATGTGCTAACCAGAAAAACTTTTTTTCTCTATGAAAGCTTTTTTCTTTCATCCAAGCAAAACTGATTCTCTTCCTACGGTGTAATGTTTCTTATATTACAGCTCCTGAGTGAATCAGAACTCATTGATGAGCTTTCAGAAGGTTTTGACCCATCTAAGTGTAAAGAAAAACAACCTAAGCCAACTGAAAAAACAGAAGTATGTTTCTAAAAATAAGAATCTTTAGTTTTTGTTGTTTCCTAAATGTTCTGTAATCTTTGAAGTGTGAGACTGGAGCTGTTTAAACACAAAGTGGCCATCTTTTTTCACACACAGTTTTCATCCCGCCTGTTTCAGGATGTGCCATCTTTCCCCAGGCTGACCCTGACATTCTGCATTTTAAGTCCTGTAATTAGTCCTTCAGGAAAGCATTCACACCCGTGCTTTCCTTTCCATTCCTTCTGTAACTGACCTACATACAGTTGTCATCGCCTGTCTTTGGTCTCCTTCCAGCCCGTCCTGTATGTCCACCAGCATTGTTCTTTCTCGACATTCCCCTGCTCCAGCCTCAGGAACTTCCCATTCTGTACAAAATGAAAAGTCCCTGCTCGTGTATTTGGGACTCAGCTCCCTTCCAGGCTAGGATGTGTGTCCCCCTCACTAAACTATGACAGTAGGTATCTACTGTCTACTCGTGTGTCTCCAAGACTTTTCTCAATGTGGTTCCTTCTACCTGGAATAACCTTCTCTCCGAATTCTAGATCAACTAAAATCTTAGTCATCCCATTAAGGCTCTTCTAAAATACGGCCTTTGTCTGCTGAATTTCCCTCCCCAAGCCTTACTACTCTCCCAACTCTTATTGAGCAGAATGCAACACACTGGGCAGGGCGGCAGGGTGGGGGGTCTGATGCCTTCTTTATATACCCTTGTTAACACATCTGTTGCAAAGAAGATCTTAGCTGCGTTGGTTTTCACCTCTAACATTTATACATATTTTTAAATAGTAAGTTTCCTGAAAGAAGAGCTCATACCTTACTAATGATCATCTGCTGAGCACATCAGGATGACCCGGAGGGTTTGTGAGAGCACAGATTGCTGGGTCCCACCCCCAGAACTGATGTAGCGTGTTGGGGTGGGGCCCACGAGTTCACGTTTCTAACAAGTTCCCTGGCAGTGCTGGGGCCGCTGGTGCTGGGACCTCACGCCGAGAACCCCGGGGTAGTCTTTCCACCTTCATGTTCACAGAGCTAATTAAATACAGGGTGCTCTTAGATACAAAACATGATGTATTTACATACAATTTTATGTTATATGATTGGTATATTATTATCATTATGTATTATATGATGGCAAATAATAATAATAGCTGCTAATAATTATCGCGCTTGCTGTGTTCCTAGGTCCTGTGCAAAAGCACTTAGTCTGTTCTGAGTGTTACTTAGTGTCTCATTAAAGGCCCATGTCAGTCTTTGAGATGTAGGTACTGTCATTGTTCTCATTTTGCAGATGTGGAAACTGTGTCTCAGAGGTTAAATAACCTACCTAAGGTAAGACGTAAAACCAAGTTGAAGTAATGGCAGCTGAAGGGTTTGAACATGCCTTGACTTACTTACGACTGAGAATCCTTAGGCATTCAAGAAAGTGAGCTCACTGCATATAGGTAGCAGAGTACACTGCTGGTCTGTTGCTGTTCAGTCTTACTAACCAGGTGTTTATAAGAACTCTTCGTTGTACCTGCTTCTTTCCACAGGAACCTCAGGCTGCGGCCCCTGCTCCTGTGGGAGAGGCTGTGCCTCGGACCTCCCTGTGCAGTGTGCAGTCAGCACCACCCAAGCCAGCTGCCTCGGTGAGCCGTCCCCTGGGCGTTGCGAAACGTCTTGAGAAAGTAATGTTCCTCCATCCAGGCCCCTGCTGCTGTGTGCTTCCATCATGTTACTTTAGTCTAGCGAAATAAAAATAAAATCCTAGATAGCTGGGCTATCCTCTGTTCTTTGAGCTTCAGGGAGGAGCTAGAAATTCAGGCTAGCTAGATGTCAATTTTTAATTAAACTACTGCAAGCTATGTTTTATTTTTTTTTAACCTTCTGAAAATCTTTCTAGCTCCTCAGCTATTGTGGATAATCATGCTTCTTCACTTTCCTTTGTTTTTCAAGCCTACATGGAGTCCCACAAACAGCCCAGTGTTGCTTTCTTTGTGTTGATTCTCCTGGTGGAATAATGTGCACCAGTGTCATCGTGACTCCCCGCCTCTCCCTGCTGAAGGGTGGGCTGACTCCCTTCCTTTCCCTTTCCTTCTCTTCTGGCCTCTCTCACTTTGCCAGTTTTCTGTGAAGCATGATACTTAACTAGTTGAATCTGTTTTCTTTGGAATTGAGTGTGTTTTGTTTCCATCAACAGACAGAATCTAACTCAGAATCCCTGCGGGTGGAACTGTGTGTTATTACCACAGACTTAGTGAATCTACACTCTGAATAACTAACATGTTCTAGATGCTTCGCAGTATCTTCTCAGTATTAAGTTCTCACAAGGACACTATGAAGGCTGTCTGGTTGTCTTTCTCTCTTATGGATGAGGGAAATGAAGTTTTGGGTTGACCTTAAGCAAATTCACTGGACCTTTCAGAACCTCAGCCGAAATGAGAGGCAGGTCCCCTGCCCTGAGGTCCCCTCAAGCCTAGTGTGGATCTGGGCCGGATCTCAAGCTTACAGTACAGTTGGATCCTTCTCATATGGAAAAAGGGCAGCAGGAACATGGGTGAAGGAACCCTTTCCCAAGAGGAACTAGGAAAGGCTTGCAGGTGGAGGACAGGACCCTTCTGAGGAGTGGGAACAGCCCTGTTTGTCCCAGGGAGGGCAGTGAGCCGAGGACAGGCCAGCACAGCGGTGTGCCTGCGATGTGTGTTCTCAGCTGTTGGAGAACAGGGGGCCTTGACGGGGTGCCCTGAGTGGCTGCTTCCTGCCAGGCAAGTCCTGCGTGCCAACTGCAAACTTCCCTCAATGCCCATGGCCTCCCTCCTGCCTTAGAAAGGACTTGGCCACCTTTTTTTAGGGGGGGTAAGTCTCAGGGTACTGTCCAAAAACTTGTACATCATGGGAGCCAGCCACAGGCTACAGTGGTGAAGGACAGGAGAGGAAAGAGAGAATCTGGTAAGAGACTGGTGAAGGAAGTTGAAACTTCCTGGTGAAAGGCAGTGATCGGAATAAGAAAGACAAAAGCCGACTCTCATGACCTCTGTATGTGTCCTCTCCCTCTCTTGCCACGTGTGATTGCCAGGGCCTTAAAGAGCTCAGTTGTTCCTTTCTGCCTTTATCCTGGCTGTCGAGTCAAGCACTGGATTTCTAGTAGATAGGAAAAAAAGAGAGAGCCATTCTTGCTTGCCCATTCTGTGACCTCCTTTCCTGGACTTCTCCACCAACTCTGGTTACCACGGTTGTGGAGTTTGTCATCACTGAAGTCAGTTGGCATTTCTGGGGCTGTGACACCCATGGGAACCAGAAAGAGTAGCTGCGGAGTGTGATAAAGATCAGAGGTCCCAGGAAGGGCTGGAGGACTAGTGAGCAAATGGAAGTGGAAAGACCAGGGGAAGATGAATGTGTGCTCCATGCAGTCATTTGTAGAAAAAGAAAGTTTATTGAGGAAATCCAGAGACCTGACTTCTCGTTGTGAATTTGACAACAGAAATAGAAGTTTTAGTCCTTAGTCCTGTTTCCAGATTCTTTAGTTCTTAACACTGCTGCTTCTCCTAGCTTTTCTAACACGGTTTCACTTATTTCTTGAGTCACAGAGCACAGGCTTGGGAACTAGTTTCCAGAGTCTACAGCAGAGAGTAGGGGAAAACAGAAGTAAGTGTGAGCAGGTGTCTCAGCCAAGCAATCTGATCAAAGGCTTGGGGACCGCTGCACTCTTACCTATAGTTATAATCCCAAAGAGATTCATCAGGGATGTTTGCTGCCCCCGGGAGTAAAATCTGTGCAGTGTCCAACCACTAGATGGTGGTAGGTCCCTTTTCACTCAACTTCCCTTTCTTCTGTGATCTATCCTTTTGTGGTGCTGCTTACCAGAAAAACAATTTTTCTTACTTAGAATGATGGCTAAGCTATATAAAACAGAAAGAAACCTCTACGCTAAAATTCCAGTGCATACTCCATGTGAGGTCCTCGACTTTATGGTAAGAGTAAATTTTGAGACTGTTTAATTAAGGGGCTTTTGCACTTTTGACCAACAGTAGGAAATTCATTGGTTCTGTAACCCAGGCAGGAGCCACACAGTGGAAACAATAGTTCGGTGAATGGTACTTATCCTTGATAGGTGTGATGCATTGTACTGCTCTTTCATTTAAAAAAAAAAAAAAAAGGTCCTGGCCACGAACTACTGAATGGCTTGTAGAGCTGCTTGTGTTATGGATCACGACCTGTGATTTGGAAAAGCCTCATCTAGTCCTGTCTTCTAGCCCAAACATCATTTAGCCTTTATTTTCCCTTCACCATTTATGCTCTGTGTTTGAGTTTCATTTTAAATACCAGCATGGCCAGAGCTCACTCCATCATAGGGAGCACATTTCATTTTGAACAACTGGATCACAGGTAGACTGTGCTCATGGTGCCATTCAGGTTAGTCAGTCACAGGCTGTCGCCTGAATTGGCTATGACCATCGGCTATGTCACTATGACCAGTAGACACCACACAGAGGACACGAGCTTCTGTGCCTGGGTACAGGCTCAGCGGAGCCACACCTCCGGGATGGGCCAGGGTGTTCCACAGAACAGAGGGAAGAATGTCCTCTCGTGGGTTTTTCTGAAAACTTCCCTCTGCCATCTTTAGGACAGTCACATAAAGATCACTTTCTTCTTTCCTGGCTTTCAGCTTCTCTGTGGGATACCCATTCCTCTGATTTGCTTATTTCTAAACCAAAATGCTAGGTTAGATCTTACAAGTTCCTAAGTGTCAATACATGAATTGCACACAGTGAATGTTTAATGTAAGAAACTTGCTCTAATTTTTAACATTTTAGGTTCTTAAGCATAGATTCCAATGGTTGATTATTCAAATTATTATAAGATGACATGTGCTTCTTATTGAGGCCTGAAGTAAGAATCTGCTCGTCTGAATTGTCTACTGTAGTCTCTTTCAAAAAGGACTGATCAACCACCTATTTAGTTTTATCCCCTGGTGTGCTTTCAGAAGGGCATGGTGCCAGAGGACGCAGTGGAAGCCTTGGCTGGCAGCCTGGGGAAAAAAGCAGCAGAGCCAGAAGATGGAAAGCCTGTGGAGGATAAATTCAAGGTACTGGCAGCTCAGAGTCTTCTAGAAAGGAGCTACCACTGATTGCCCTCACTCTCCAGAAAGTCAGTCTTTTAAAAAATGTTTATATTTCCCACCATATACTACCAGCCAGCTTTCTCTGCGACTGCGCATGTCCTGTTTTATAAGCAAAGCTTGAGTGAGCGTCAGTGTCTAAGTACAGCAGTGGGTGGCTGGTGTGCACGGGTCAGAGCCCCGAGTCTCCCCTTGTCCACCTGCTTTCCCGTTGTGGAGGCTCCTAAGAGAAGTGGCACCGCCTGCCTCTCAGCCCCGCCGGCATGTGAACCTGCTGACCCAGGTGCAGTGTCAGAAAGTCTACACCTATGGCCATCCGTCCATTCTGACCTAGCAACAGATTTACTGACCTCAAATTTAGCCACTCGGGCATCTGGTTTATGAGGAAAAGATGTGTTAACTATGAAAACGGTATTTTTATTTAGGAGAAAGCCAAAGAAGAGGATCGTGAAAAACTTGGTGAAAAGGAAGAAACCATTCCCCCTGATTACAGATTAGAAGAGGCCAAGGTAAGCTCGCTGGGGCCTGTTTCTCATTTATTTTCATTCCCACTGAATTTCGTACACATGAAGAAGGGACATGGCAGCAGACATGGGATATCAAGGTCAAGTTTCTTAATATTTCAAACACCAAGTAGTATGAGTCCACTGGTGTCCTGTTAGCACACCAGCTGTGAAGCTAGAGTATTCCTAGGTGGCCTTCCATCCTCCCCTGGGTGAAAGAAATCCAATGTCTTGGCTACCTGACTTCTTCCTGTCTATTATGTGGTTTGTTACAGTATCAGAGATAAACTTAGAAAACCTTTATACAGGAAGGAAAACCAAAGTGAGGAGCGATAACTTGCAGATCTTGGATATATGTTGAAAAATAAGAGCCTATTTAACATTGAATATCCTGAGTGAGAAGTTGGCCCATTTCCTTTATTTTCAATGTACAGATTGTACAAAACAATTGACATGGGGGAGACCACTCCTTAAGAGCAGGTGCACCTAAACTTCAGGAAAATCAATTTGATACTCCTCGTATTCATCCATGTGTACCAGTCCATCTATTTGGCAAAGACAGGAACTATACTGAGCTCTCCCTGATTTAAAGTTTATTATTCTGGACACCTTTATTCTGCATCTTCTCTGCATTTCACAATTCATTTGAAACCATGGCTTTTCTATTAACTTGGGCTTATTTGTGTGCAAGGTTCTTAGAACATGTGGCCCTTAAGCAGCTGCTGAAACCCCCCCTCGTCCCCCACTTAGTAAAGGCTCGTCAAGTGCAGGCGACTCTCTCATAGTAGGAGGCCGGTTACTCTCTCTCTTCCTTCGCTGAATTCTAATAGTTTTTTGAGGGAGTTGATCAGCTTTCCCTGAGCACTTTATTCTGCGGTAGTTTCATCCTCCTTTGAACTTTTTGATCTTAGACATTATAAATTACCTACTGCTTTATAACATTTCCAGCCGCTGGCTGGATCTCTTGGTGAAATCCTATGTTGTTTCTCATCTGCCCCCATCAGGCCTCTGCAGCAGAATCAGCTCCTTGAGGGCGGACCACAGGTTTCCCTTCCAGACACAGGATGCTTTCAGTTTGTGTGTGGAGCAGATGTGCCCCCTTCCCGGTTCTGTGTTTCACTTGGGAAACGTGCTGCCTTTGCAGCAGAGGTGGGGAGCAGGGCCCCAGTTCTACTTCGCCCCTAAATGACTGGTGGTCAGAAGGTACACATCAATGTGCAGAGGAGGTGGAAAAGGGGTAAAGGAGTTGATGTCAGGTAAAAGGGAAGCAGGCAATACTCTTAACCACGGCATCTCTTCGAATTTTAAACAAAAACCACCTTGACCGGTTTATCAGGAGAAATACAGTGATGTACACAGCTGACCCTTGAACAACACAGGTTTGAACTGCACGAGTCCAATTTTATTCAGATTTTTTGGATAGTAAATACTACAGCACTACACGATCCACAGTTGGTTGAATCCACAGATACAGAACCATGGATGCAGAGGGAAAACTATAAATTATACATGGATTCTTGACTGCTCGGAGGGTCAGCACCCCAACCCCCATGCTTTTCAAGAGTTAACTGTGTGCATCTAGAGAGAGCCTTGTGCTTATTTACTTTTATATGTGTATGTGAATGGGATTGACCATGTATTTATACATTTTCTTTACTAAAGAGTCCCAAAGGCTTTATGGATTTTATCCTGTTACTTAGACGTGGCACTTAGAGTCATTTAAAGCTTGGCATCACCTGAGTCCTAAGGTTTGGCATCCCGCCCCCTGGATGAGCTCCCTGAGGGTAGGACTTTGTTTAGCCTGCTTTCTGTGGGATTCCCAGTGCTCACCTCAGGGCTTGGATGTGCCGCCTATAATGTTAACCAGCTTTTCCAGACAACCTGTGCAAAGCCCACCCCACTCCGTCAGGGGAGGGGCACATCCTTGTGCCCCCTCAGTGTCCTGTGTCCACTGTCACAGCCCCGTGTCCAACGCTACGTTAGCTGTTCATGTGATTCTCCCCCCCCTCCGCCCTGGTCCCCGGGCTTCTGAGGTTAGCAAGCCACCCTCGATCCATTTGCAGCCCCTGTGCCTAGAGAATGCCTGAGGTATGCGAACTGTTTGTTGACATGAGTTAATCAGAGCATATTTCCTGGTGAGAGAATCGGTTTCCTGAAATGGTGAATCTTAATTTACAGTGTACATCATCAGGTATCACCTGTCAACCTCTGAGAATGTTTACAAGGCTGCATACTTAGGATACATGCAAAATGACTCTGCCATGCTTTTCTCCCCCCGCATAGGATAAAGATGGAAAACCACTCCTGCCGAAAGAGCCCAAGGAACTGCTTCCAGTAAGCAAGCCAGTTTTCTCTGAGTGTCTCTTTCTCCTTTGGCCCTGACTGCGAATGCAGGAAGGGCATAGCTTTCTGTTTAATGAGCTGATGAGCATATAAATAGTGACATCATTTTGAAGGGGAGACAAATGAGGTGTTGTTTGTTGACATATTTCCTGGTTCTTACAGCCCTTGAGTGAAGACTTTCTCCTTGATGCTTTGTCTAAGGACTTCGCCGGTCCCCCAGACACTTCATCTCTTGTAAGTCCTCTGATTTTATTTCTTTACTTTTAGGGTAGCAGAAACTTGTAACTTAAAATCTGACATGGGAGTTGAGGAAACAGTCACAAAATTAATGGCCCTCAACTCATCACAGCCATTAAAAATGTGCTCCATCATGACATATCCGTCCACCACAGTGGATGTTATCAATAGTGTAACTAATTGAACCAGTGAGCACACACTTATTAAGTACAACTATGAAAAGAGAATTTAAAATTGAGTTGTCCAATATATTTGAAAAATAAGTGCATAAAAATATTTTAAAAAATACTGAAAAGCATGAAAAAGATTAACCCAACTGAACACCAGAATTTATTATACAGTTAATGATAAAAATATAGTTCTGATTCAGAAAGCAAAGCCACAGGTCAGTGGGGAAAAAAAATCCAGAAATGAACATAAATGACAGATTAAATCTTTACAATGAGAAAAGGAGTCATTATTTCAGAAAGATTCTGAAATATACTATTTAACATTAAGAAAAAATGATAAAACTGAAACCTCACACCAGATAGCAAGTATTAAAGCAACAGGAGCACACCACTTTATACCCAGTACATTATCCAAATTAAAAATACGTGATAAATACCTAATTCAGGCAAGCAAGGCTGTGGGAAACGGGCGTGCCCATTTACTGCTTTTAGTGGAATGATTTTCTAGCAGCTTTGGGGAGGGCAGCTGGCAGAGTAGAGCTGGACTGTAAAAAGAGCCACTTCTAGAACTTAAGGCAACGAATTACAAAGAAAGCAGACCAACTAAATGTACGACCAGAAGTGTGTGAGCAAACCGTGAAACTCAAAGTCACTAGCTTTCTGAACCACTTTTAGAATAATGTGAATAGGAGATTGTGTAAAATACCGCTGTGGAGTAGGAAGTGGAATGAAAATGGCTCTTAAGACGCTATGTTGCTGTGCTTCCATCTGGATCGAGAGAGTAACAGCATTAAGCTCTAGTGAGAGTTGTATTTAAGTGGCGGCACTGTGGCATAACTTGTATACAACATATTACTGATCAAAACCTTTTTATTATTTTTTCATAAAAGCAGTTTGAAGATGCTAAACTTTCAGCTGCCGTCTCTGAAGTAGTTTCCCAAACCCCAGCTCCAACCACCCAGGCTGCAGGTCCACCCCCTGACACTCAGGTAAGCACCATATCTTAAAATATTTGTTTTCTCAGTAGCAACAGCAGGAAGAAAGGAAACAGGAGTCCTGCTTAGAGTAAGTGAAAATAGACCCAAGTGTTGGGAAGAGTAGGCACCTTGCGTTTCAGAAGAGATGAGGCTGACAAGTTAGGGAGATGACAGAATATCTGAAACAACTAAACACTGTATGTGGAAGTATTTTACACCCAGTGAAGGAGCTTAATATTGTTGTTGCCTTATTAGAATTGAAAGTGCAATAATGTATGTTGTGTATATATTCCAATTATTAGATTTTTTAAATTCTTTAGCTTTCCTGATAGTTGATTTTTCTCCTCCTTGAAATTTTTCCTGACACAGGCTGTAAATACTACCTATTATTTAACCTCCAGTTTATTTTATGGAATGACTCAGGGTTTGAGCTTCTGCCTGTTCCCCCAAATTCACAGATCTGTTCTTCCCATTCACACCAGTAAAGACCTGTCATTTTCACACTAGTAATAGAAAAACCCAGCATCAATATTGTTGTAATTATTTACATGTTCTGAGGCAAGACTGGTGGAACCAAAGCTTTTCCAGACTTCCCTGATTAACTTTCTGTGCAGTACCAAACCCAGGAGACCACGGCACATCAAAAGACAGATTTCCCTAAACCAGATCCCCATCTCCTCTGGTGGAGAACAAGTACCTCATTTGCTCATTGGAGATGAAGTAGCCTTAGTGAAGTCAGCTCTGCTTCCTTTCCTTTTGATGTAGCTTCAAAGCTTGCTTAGTGCTGTCCTCTGAGATTCTGAGTGAGTTTGCATCCTGTTGGGTCAGGCTTCGGATCATCTGAAAATAGCCAGAGGCACAAACGACAAAGCCCAGCCCCCGCTGTGGGTAGCTGCTGTAATCCTGGGCTCTAATGAAGGACTTAAAACCAGTAAAATGCTCCCTTCTCCATGTGTGTGTACATACACACACCCACAATGACAGTCCCCGTGCAACAGAGAGGAGGAGCCATTAATAAGCAGGCTACCGTTTCCACTTCAGTTTATGTATATTTTTTTATTGAAGTACAGCTTACAGTGTGTCAATTTCTGGTGTACAGTCATACAAGAACATATATTCATTTTCATATTTTTTCACCATAAGTTACTACAAGATATTGAATATAGTTCCCTGTGCTATAAAGTATGAACTTGTTTATCTACAGTTCTTAATACTCAGGTTCTAGGTTCTGCTCTGATTGAGCTATTATTAAACATTCACAAAGGTCTTTTTGCCTTTCACAGGTATGTTTTCCAATAACCCCTTCCCTATCACTTTTCCCATCAAGGACTCTAGTTTTAGTTACCATCTTATTTGAAGACATCATTGAAACTAGGTATAAAGCTTTATTTAAATGAATGCACTTCTAACTCCTGTGAGTTTTCTTTGCTGGGAACATCCTGTTACACGTACTGAAAGCATCATAAGACGTATTTTCTAGAGAATCAGGCCAAGAACCCTGTCTTTGGGGAAGAACCTGCTTTTTTTTTTTTTCCAGAAAAGTAAGATGGGTGGGGTAGCAGGTGCAAAGATGGAGAAAGAGCACCAACCCCAGACTGCAGATCCCGTGCCTTCCACCCCCTGCCCATCTCCCTGGGAAAATCCTGTAAGCCTGTGGGAGCCTTAGTGGCACTGTTGGGGCCACACTCCAGCAGGTGACCTGATTTGGCTAACCAGTGCCTAATTCAGATTAATTTCTAGCAGAGTGACAACAAAGAACTTGACGATGCCCTGGATCAACTTTCTGACAGTCTCGGGCAGAGACAGCCGGATCCAGATGAGAACAAACCAATAGAGGATAAAGTCAAGGTAAAAGAAAAAAATCACTAGTAAGGGAAAATGTACGATTTCTACCCTACCCCTCCACACAAAAGGTGAAAACCACCCTGACTTTGCCCAGAGCCACTGAACAGCTGGAGAACTTAAGTCTCATTTTCTCCCACTGTGTGGTCTAGGCGGTGTCCATTTCCCCTCTGAGGACTGTGCTGTGGCACGGCATCAGGCCAGTGTCCTCTCAGTGAGACCAGACTCTGTGACTGTGGACAAGCACAGGTCTGCTTTGTTAATTTTAGTCTCTTCCTGCATTATCTTTTCTTGGTTTTATCTGGCAGTAAGGGTATCTTATGTCTGAGGCACATACGTGCATTTGTAGATTGACAAGTTGTGTAAATGTAGTGAGTCTTCTCTGCCCTCGTCACTAACCACGTGCAAACTCCTAGAGGAAGAGCACGTTGGACCAGGAGGGCAGCAACACAGAGGAGTCCGTAAGACGCAGGCTGTTAACTCTATATATCTTATACTACATGTATAAGTACTAATTTATACTTAATATACAGTACTTACCTTTCTGGTTCTAAGTTAAAAGATTATTAACAGACCAGCCAAATCTATGCTCCAAAGACAGCATTTCAAAGAATCCTTAGGTCTTGATTCTACCACTGTCATAGAAATATTGAGGTACTTAAAAACCTATATTTGAAATATGAAACTAGAATGATACAGAAAAGTAAAATCTGTACCCCGCCCCTGGGGAATCTGACAGAAGCCAGCCACGCCGCAGTGAGGCAGAGGTGGGTGCCGTTCACTCAGCAGCAGGCATTTCCTCACCTGCAAGTCAGCCAGCACATCCCTTCAGATCTGCCTCTCGTCCTGGTCTTTCTGGGTTGCTTATAGTCAAGGTTGTAAATAGTGCCTCTAAATGCCAGGATAGAGCAACTTGATTTTTTTCTCCTTACATGGTTTCTGAGGATAGTTAATCATTTATTTCAATTTAAAATACAGGTAAAAAATTCAGATATGGATTGACATACATAAGCACTATTTTTTTCATTAACTTAAAGTCGGTTGAAGTTGTTCTGTTGCTTAAAAAATTTTAAAAGACCGTATGTTTTACCTCAGAAAAGCACAGTCAATGCTGAATGCTGCATTTTAGCATGCACTAAGTGAAGGCAGAAATGAACAGTGATGATATATTTCCTTGTTTACAGGAGAAAGCTAAAGCTGAACATAGAGACAAGCTGGGAGAAAGAGATGACACTATCCCACCTGAATACAGACATCTCTTGGAGAAGGATGATGAGGTAACTGAGGGCACTGTCTAGGTTGGATATGTACTAAAGCTTTTGAAATTCAAACCGCACTTGAAATGACTAGGAGGTACACTGTAACAACAGCATAATTGTAACACGACTGACTGCGTTCAGTGTGTCCCCACTGAGCAGGCTGTCTAGAATTCTGTTTAATATTTATTTGAGCCAGTATCATTAGATGTTTACTCTGCTGGGCACTGTAGCATAAAGAGAGCTGAATAATGTTCAGTCACTCACTGATGCTTAACAGTGATTCAGAGGCATGAATACAGATGAATTCTCTTTGCACGAAAAGGCTATAAAAGGAATGATATTTGTAACTGACGCAGTCTCTCTGCTGAAGGAGAGAAGAAAAGGAGCTAGTATAGAGTAATTAATAGGGCAAATATGGCTCCTCTAAGACCTGCGGTCCCCCTTTCTTTGTCTACACAACCCCTGGCACTGTTGAGAGTGAAGATAGGATGTGTGATTGGGAATATGGTGTTGCCTATTTCTATACCTAAATATACTCTACTCTGTCAGGAAGTCTGTCTTTGTCTTTCATATGAAAGCCAGTTTTTCTTGGGTCAACCTGATCCAACCCTACCCCTTCCTATTTGGCTCCTAGTTGCAAGTCCATTAGACGTTAAATAACTCTTTCCAGGTCTGTCATCATATAAAAACAGGGAAGTCCAAATTCTGTACTGATTCATAGGGGGGCTTTGACACCCTGGTTGACAGAGTATTACCAGCATCAGTCCTCCCTGCTTGCATTCAGTATTCAAGATAGTAATTCTGCATCCAGCTAGAATTAGCGAGAATTCTCCCTGCTGTTTTCTTTGGGAAATGTATTATTTAGTGTCCTTGCCTTTGTAGATGGGAAAAAATCCCTGATGAGTGGTCCTTGTAATCCTCACTGAAAAGAAAATCTATCTCTAGATTTTCAAATGCTTTCGAAGTATAGTAAGCTAGAGTAGATAAGCATATAGGAAATTAGCAAAGAAGCAAATTAGCAAAGAAGACACAAAACACAAGTTACATTTCTACTTAAGATGTTACAAAAAGTAACATACAGTGGCCAGAAAGTTGCTAAAATAATGTTTCCTTTACTTTCAGGACCAGACTCACCCTTGCATTTTCCCAAAGGCTAGTAAAATGGCTACAGGGTACTTAATTAAGCAGAGCTGGTGAAGCAATAGTAGGGGCCCAAGTTTCTCAGTTGCTGCAAATCTTACACAGTCATCCCTCCGTATCCACAGGGCATTAGTTCCAAGACCCACAGACACCAGAATCTGAGGATGCTAAAGTTCTCTAGTGGCAGAGTATTTGCATATAATACTATACCTATTCTCTTCTATACTTATAAGTAATCTAGAGATGATTTAAATACCTAATACAATGTAAATAGTTGCTGGCATGCAGCAAATTCAAAGTTGCTTTTTGGAACTTTCTAGAATTTTATTTCCACAAATATTTTTGATCTGCTCTTTTCATTGGATCTGCTGACGCAGAACCTGCCAATGCAGAGGGTTGACTGTACTCCATTTCAAGTCTCTGGAGCAGGGAGGGTATAGCTCGGGTAGAGCGCATGCTTGGCATGCACGAGGTCCGGGATTCTACCTGCAGTATCTCCATTAAAAAAAAAAAAAAGATCAAGTCATCCATTGGATAATAGATTGCATACTGACCTCACCTAAGTCAACTTTTACAAAAGTTTGTTTAACCAATAGTTTGCTTTGTTTCTAAGGACAAATCAGCGAAACCACCTACTAAGAAGCCCGAGGCATCAAAGGTAAATACCATAGCTATGTTTAGCAACTTGTACATTTTAGAAATATAAAATTTACTGAATGCCTACCTTATGCTTTGTATGATGCCAAGGCCTATGTATGAGTGCACTGTTTCTGTCTTCCCAGGCAGCTCCATTTTTCAGATTAGAAAATCAAAGCTCAGCAAATACTCAGCATCTTGTAGAAAAGAGTAGAAGAAAACAGTTGTCAAGATTTTCCTGTTTCAATATCTCTTTTATAATATACTAGTTTGCTAGGAAAAGAATGTCAGCAAGGCTATATTTGAAACATATTTTCAGAGATGTGGGAAAATGTACCGCAGAGCATTCGGGCCTTGTACTTCTTCACTGATGGTTGTTTCTTTTAATATCTCAGAAACCTGCAGAAGCCCAAGACCCCATTGATGCCCTCTCAGGGGATTTTGACAGCTGTTCCTCAACTACAGAAACCTCCCAGGACACAGCAAAGGTACTATGCTTTTTTGTACTGACTTTCTTTGAATGTGTGTGTCCATATATATAATTTCAGACTGTAAAATTAACTAATTGATGCCATTGAGAACTTGAAAAGAAAAAAAAAATAATTCTGCTACCCCTACAAACACTGTTACTTGGTATATTTCTTGTCTTTTTCCATGTTTTATCTGGTTGTACTTGGAGTCCAGATATAATACACTGCTTAACATTATTTCATAAATGTTTTCCACGTTAATCTCCATAGCCACCACTTTTGATTGCCACACCTTACTTACTGCTGTACAACAGTAATGTTTTCTCTGTGTTCATTTAAAATGAGAGCAGTCCCCAACTGGGGACTGCCCTCTGGGTTTCCTCCCCTTTTCTGCCCTCTGCAGCTGGCTGACTCGCCCGTCAGCCACTCCGGGAAGACTTCTGTGACTGCTTTTCCCTTCCCAGGCCAAGGCCGCCTCTGAGCTCTCCCTGCTCTCTGGGTGACCTGCAGCATGCGCGTCACACCAGAGCTGTGTGCCTCTATGCTCAGCATTAGCTGGAGGCCTGGTACGCAGCACATGCGTAAAAGTGAATGAAGAAAATGGGTACTCCAACAAGTGTGGCATTTTCCATATAAAGAACATCCTTCTGTAAATCAAATAGAGGGAAAAGTGAAATGAGTGCCCTTGTTATTTTGAGAATTAAATTGTGCATCTGTTTGCTATTGTTTTGGCTGTTATCAAACATCTCTCTCAATCACTGAATTGGCAGTCTTCCCCGTATTGGGTGACTGAATTTCTAGACCACCTCAGCATCCTATTTCTTACTCCGGGAACCTCATAAATAATGCTTTTTTGGTGAATGGACTTCAGTTTTTGTATATGACTTGCCCCAGCTCTCTCGGTTTGCTTCCATAACACTGAAAAAAAACCAGTGTCCTATTGGTACATGAAAACTAGTCCTGATAGAAATAAGCTCTCTTTGATGAGCAAAATGCAGTTTGGGTGAGTCACGTGTCATGAAAATTGGCAGAGCCTCAGTGTGACTCACCTTATCATTTTGATCCTTTATACCTCCTACCTTAAGCATCTGTGTACATTCACTATTGTTCAAAAAATCATGACTGAGATACTCAATTTTCCATTACTTAATGACATGGGAGATTCCAGGCTACTGAAGAGGACAGTCTGGATTGATCCGCCTGCAGCAGTGGTAGCTGCTGGAAGGACTGGTGACAGCAGTGGCCTCATTACATTTCCTTTGCTTTAGGACAAAAACAAGAAGACGGCTTCCCGCTCCAAAACACCCAAGAATGGGGGTAAAGCAAAGGACTCTGCAAAGGTAAACAGCAGTGAATAGACTACAGATTAGCTTCGCAATTACACTGAGTGGCACTGGTCATTAATGGGATTGGGATCTATTTAGAATAAAACAATTTTTAAGCACTAGCTGTCCCCTAACATGTCTAGCTAAAGAAACTGAAGTTTTAAAGACATTTATTTTTTTAATAAATAAATTTAGAAATCGAAATGAATGTTCTTAATACAATTCAAGTTTCCTGTATTCCCAGCTCCTGTCGCACAAAATACAGATGAGCTCCCTATAATTGGATGGTTCCCGAAGTCGGCTGAACAAGCTGTGCTAGTCTGGAATCAGTGTAGGCCCTCTCCCCCACCTCAAACCTCACAAACTCCCTTCCAGCCAAGTTCCCCACTGTGTGCAGGCAGCCTCGCCTTCTGCTTCGAAGAGAAAATTGAGGCTACTTTGCAGAACATAACCAAAATCCCTTTCACAAACTGCCTCCTAGCAAACCCCCTCCCCGCTTTGCCCTTCAGCCCCTTCCTTCTCTCAGGGAGTGAGTAACTCTCCTGTAACTTTGTCTCAATTCTTTACCCTTGTAGTGTAAGCATGTTTGAGTTCTTTCATCCCTTCAAAAGCAATCCTACACCTTATAAGCCCTGTCTCCCTCCTTCCCTTCACCTTCTTGAAAAACCTGTGACTCCTGCTTCCTCCTCTTGAGCTCTGCCTGAGAAGAGCAGTGACATGCTGGTCGCTGTATCACTGATTCCCTGTCAGCCCAGGTTTACTTCCTCTCTCACAGCGGTGTATGCGGTTGGCATCAGAGCTGCTGCTGTAGTGGATGGAGACTTTAGGGAAGGTTGGGGTGGGTGAATCTACTTTATACCTTCACCTCTCCAAGGACCCAGACCACCTTAAAATTACTCAAACTGTGGTCAGGGAAGCAACAGAAGTGGGACCTAAAAGTTGTCTAATCCAAATTCTAAGAACATAGGATTCAAATGGTTATGACTATGATCCCAAGTACAATGAAAAATTAAAGGTACAGCTTTAAAAACAACAGTCCAAATGCATCAAAACTCTTAAAAACAAGATAGTGAGTTCTGGTTCAAGATGGTAGCCTAAGGAAGATCCTCAACTCACCTTGTCCCACAGACACCAGATCTACAGCTGTATATGGAACAACTTCCTCTAGGGAAAAAAAGAAAACCCAGATTAGCTGAGTGACTCCTACTCATCTAGCAAATGAGAGAAAGCCCACATTTAAGAGGGTACAAGAAGCTGGGACAGTCTCACCAAAAATTCCACACCTAATAGAGCAACCCACCAACAAGAGGGAACTCAAAACCCAGAGCTTCTCCTTGAAGAAGTTTGAACCCCATTATCAGTACCACAGCCTTTAAAACCCTCCAAGAAATGAGCCCCAAAACACCTGGCTTTGAAAGCCAATGGAGCTTGTGTCCATGACGACCCATACAGCTATAGCAAACTGAGAAACCGTTCTTAAAGGGCTTGTGAGCTCAGACTGATCTGCCCACCCCAAAGCCCAGTACAAAGGCAGCTGACTGAAAAGCACCTAGACTTTCCGTGAAAGAACCTTAATGACTTACCCTATCCGTAGACACGTGCAGGGATCTTCTGAAATACTTTTCGGGATGGATGGTGCCATCTTTGCACTCTTCCTCTGCCCTGCTCCAACTAGCTGGTATATCCCAGAAAGGAGCTTGAACCCTCCACTGCCCACCCACCTCAATTTTTGCAGCTCCTGCAGGGAGACACCTCTAGATCAAACTGACTCTAGGAACCAGTGGGCTTATGCTCATGAGTCCCACAGAACTGTAACCAGTGAATAAACTTCTATCTGGCTACCTCCCCCAGGGCCCTGCAAGATGGAACAGTTCAAGGAGCACAGTCTCTTAAAAGAAACTCCTGGCTTACCTGCATAGCCGCAGCCTGAGGCAGGGGCAGGTTTCTGATTAAATACACATCTAAGGCCAACTGTGATCCCTTCCAGAGACTTCAGAGGGTGAGCACTGTTCACACACTCTCTGCAACTATTTAGAGTGCCAGTATCTCCCAGAGGGGAGACTTCACAGGTGTCTCATGCCCCAGTTTTTGTGGCTGCCACCCAGGGGATGCTGCTTGATCACCAGGCTCTGTTGGCCAGCATGGTTGCATTACTGGGTCTCACAGAACTGTAGCAATCAGAGATGCAGTTCTTAGCTGGCTACCATCCACAGAGTACTGTACAGACAGCAGACTAAAACACATCCCAGTCTTTCTGTGTAAGAGGCCTATTTGCTTGTGCTGTCAAGACCAAGAGCTTTGGTCTTGAGGGACAGGCTTCAGGCTTGGCACACATCTCGGGGCCTACAGATGTACCTTTAGGGATCATAAGCTGGTGCTCACTGTCTTTGTGCTGTCCCTCCACCTCACTCTAGGCCACCAGAATTTCCTAGAAAGGAGTTTGTATCCTCACATAGAGGACCAATTTTTGTAACTGCTACCTAGGGGATACTAACCAATTGCCTGGCTCTGGCAGCCAGTAGGACGATGCTTCCGGTCCTGCAAGACTATATATATTTGCATATTTTAAAAGCTGCTACCTGAGGGACTGGCTTCCATTCAGCCTGAATCTAGGCAATGAGATCCTCCCTCTTGGGACACTGACAGGTCTTGGCACACCCAGAAAGCAGCTACTGTGAGCCACTAAAAATAGGCTGGACAGTCACAAAGTTTGAGAGAAAACTAAGAGCTAGGGCAGGGTGGAACTGTAAGGTTCATCTACACGAGGCCATTCCTTCAAACTGGGAGAGGTAGTAGTTTTATCTAGCTCATAAAAACCAACACAGAGACTCAAGGAAAATTACCATAGGAATATGTTCCAAATGAAAGAATAAGATAAAACCTCAGGAAAAAATCTTAATGAAATAAGTGACTTACCTGATGAAGTGTTCAAAATAAGTCATAACGATGCTCACCAAACTCAGGAGAGGAATGGATGAACACAGAACTTCAAGAGGGACAATACAAGAAAGTAACAAATAGAAGTCACAGAGCTCAAGAACACGATAACCGAACTGAAAAATACATTAGAGGGATTCAACAGCAGACTAGATGAAGCAGAAGAAAGGATCAGTGAACTCAAAGACAGAGCAATGGGACTCACCCAATCAAAGTAGTAATAAGAAAAATGGGAAAACTAGTAAAGATAGCTGAAAGGCTTTCTGGGACATCACAGAGACCAACATTTGCATTATACAAGTCCCAGAAGGAGAAGAGAGAGAGGGACAAAGAGATTATTTGAAGAAATAATCTCTAAACCTTCACTAACCTGGGGGAGGAAACAGACATCCAGATCCAGGAAGCCTAGAGAATTCCAAATAAAAACTGAAAGACACCCATACCAAAGACACATTACAATTAAAATGTCAAACATTAAAGGAGAGAAACTGAACCTGCAGCAAGAGAAAAATAAATTTTTATATACAAGGGATCCCCCATAAGACTATCAGTAGATTTTCAGCAGAAACTTTGAATATATCATGCCACTCCCTTCTGACCTGCAAAGTGCTGAAAGAAAAAACCTCCAACCAATACTCTTCCCAGCAAAGTTGTCATTCAGAATTGAAGGAGAGAAAAAGTTTTCCTGACAAACAAAATCTAAAGGAGTTCATCAGCACTAAACCAGCCTTATAAAAAAGGATGCTGTAATCAGTAACCAGAAAACATGAAAGTACAAATCTCACTGGTAAAGGTAAAATATACAGTAAATCCAGAATAACCCGGTGTTGTAAAGGGATGGATTAATCACTTACAAAGCTGGTATGAAAGTTAAAAGTAATAAAAAATAACTAAAACTACAATAATTAAGGGATACACAAGATAAAAATATGTAAAATGCACATCAAAAACGTAAAATGTCAGGGAGGGGAGTGAAAATGTAGAGCTTTGGAATGCATTCAAACGGAAGATTTTATAAACTTAAAACACTGCTAAAAGTTGTTATATGTAAGCTTCATGGTGGCCACAGAGTAAAAACTATAGTGGATACACAAAAGGTAAAGAGAAAGGAATTTAAGTGTATTACTTTAGAAAATTATCAAAGCACAAAGGAAGAGAGCTAGAGAAAGACATGAACTAAGGAAAACAAAATAGTCAGAAAACAATTAACAAAATTAGCAGTAAGTACATATTTATCAATAATTACTTTAGAAGTAAAGGGACTAAGTTATCCAATCAAAAGACACAGAGTGGCAGAATTGGTTAAAAAAAAAAAAGCAAAACAATATATGCTGCCTATAAGAGACTCACTTCAAATGTAAGGACACACACAGACTGAAAGTGAAGAGACAGAGTAAGATATTCCATTTAAATGGAAACCAAAAGATAGCTGGTGTAGCTATACTTATTACAGACAAAATGATCTTTAGAACCAAGACAAAGAGGAATGTTAAATAATGGTAAAGAAAAATTAACATTTGTAAGTACGTTACGCACCCAACATAGGGGCACCTATATACATATAAAGCAAGTATTAACAGACCTAAAGAGAGAAATAGCAATACAATAATGGTGTCAGGGACTTTAATACCATATTTTCATTAATTGATAGATCATTTAGACAGATAATCAGTAAGGAAACAGTGGCCTTAAATGACATTATACCAATGTACTTAACAGATATATACAGAATGCGTGATCCAAAGCTACAGAATATACATTTTTCTCAAGTGTACGTGGAACATTCTCCAGGATACACATCATATGTTAGGCTGCAAAACAACTTAATTTAAGAGGACTGACATCACATCAGGCATCTTTTTGACTACAGTTGTATGTAACTCAAAATCAATTATAAGAAAACTGGAAAACCCACAAATACATCGATTTCCTAAACAACATGCTACTCAACAACCAATGGGTCAAAGAAGAAATCAAAAGAGAATCCAACAAATATGTGTATATGTATGCATGACTGGGACATTAAGCTGTACACCAGAAACTGACACGTGGTAACTGACTATACTTCAACAACAGAAAGAATTCAAAAAATACTTAGAGACAAATATAAATGAAAACACAGTATATCAAAACTTACAGGATACAAAAAAGATAGTACTTTAGAGGAAGTTCATATGCTTACCTCAAAAAACCAGAAAAATCCCAAACAACCTAACTTTATACTTTAAGAAACTAGAAAAAGAATAACAAATGAAGTCCAAAGTTAGTAGAAGAAAGGAAATGACAAAGATCAGAACAGAAATAAATGAAAGATTAAAAAGACAACAGAAAAGATAAACAAAGATCTGGGGTTTTGTTTTTTTTGTTTTTGTTTTTGTTTTGAGAAGATAAAATTTACAAACTAGCTAGACTCAACAAGAAAAAATGGATTCAAATAAAATCAGATGAAAAGGGGTCAGTACAGCTGATATCACAGAAATCCAAAGGATCATAAGGAAGAATAAACAATTATTCACCAACACATTGGACACCTAGAAGAAAGAAACATACAACCTACCAAGACTGGATCACGAAGAAAAAGAACATCTGAAAAGACCAATTACTAGTAAGGAGATTGAATCAGTGATCATAAACCTCCCAACAAACAAGTCTAGGATCAGAGTCCAGAGTGCTAACCATTACACCATGGAACCTCTCTTAAAAGTCTAGGATCAAAGAGCTTCACTGGTGCTTTCTACCAAGTATTCAAAATGGAATTAATACCAATCCTTCTGAAATTCTCCCAAAAAACAGAAGAGGAGGGAATACTTCCAAACTCACTTTAGAAAGCCAGTATTACCCTGATACCAGAACTACGCCAGGGCACCGGAAGAAAAGAAAATTACAGGCCAGTATCCCTAATGATGAACAGATGTATAAAATCTGCAGCAAAACATTAGCAAACTGAATTCAGTAATACATTAAAAGGATCATAGACCATGATCAATTGAGATTTAGTCCAAGGATGCAAGGATAGTTCAACATCTGCAAATCAGTCAATTTGCTACACCACAGTAACAAAATGAAGAATAAAAATCTTATGATTATCTCTTTCAATGCAGAAAAAGATCTGAAAACCAATACCCATTTATGATTAAAAAAAAAACAAACCTCTTAACAAAATGAATACAGAGGGAACCTACCTTATCATAGTAAGGGCCACACATGACAAGCTCATAGCTATCATCATACTCAATGGTGAAAAGACGGAAACTTTTCCTCTAGGATCAGGAGAAAGACAAGAATGCTCCCCCCTTCACCACTTTTATTCAACATAGCAAGTAAGCAAGAAGAAGAAATTAAAAGCATTTAAACTGGAAAGGAAGAAGTACAACTGTCACTATTTGCAGATGACATGATATTATATAAAGAAAACCTTAAAGATGCCACCAAAAACTATTAGAACTAATAAATTCAGTAAAATTGCAGGGTATTAAAATATACAAAAAGCAGTTGCATTTCTGTACACTAATAAAAAACTACAAGAAAGAAAAACAGTTCCATTTACAGTGGCATAAAAAAATACCTTAGAATAAATTTAACCAAGGTGAAAGACCTATCCACTGGGAATTATAAGACAGTGATGAGAAAAACTGAAGAAGACACAAATAAATGGAAAGTTATTCCATGTTAATGGATTGGAAAACTGTTGTTAAAATGTCCATATTACCCAAGCAATCTACAGATTCACTGCAATCCCCATCAGAATTCCAAGGGCATTTTTCATAGAAATACAAAAAAAAATCCTAAAATTTATATGGAAACACTGCAGTCCCCAAGTAGCCAAAGCAATCTTGGGAAAGAAAAAGCTGGAACCCCAGTGTTCATAGCAGCACTATATACAATAGCCAAGACATGGAAACAACCTGAATGACCATCAACAGATGATTGAACAAAGTTGTGGTGTATTTATACAATGGAATACTACTCAGCCATAAAAAATAAAACAATGCCATTTGCTGCAACATGGATGGCCTAGAGATTGTCATTCTAAATGAAGTTAGCCAGAAAGAGAGAGAAAAATACCATATGATATCAGTCATATGTGGAATCTAAAAAAGAACATTAATAAACTCATCTGTAAGACAGAACAGACTCACAGACATAGTAAACAATTTTACAGTTATCAGGGGAAAGGGGGTAGGAAGGGATAAATTTGAGAGTTTGAGATCTGCAAGTGTTAACCACTACATATAAAAATAGATAAAAAGAAAACAAGTTTAGTCTGTATAGCACAGGGAACTATATTCAATATCTTGTAATAAACATTAATGGAAAAGAATATGAAAATGAATATATGTATGTATATGCATGACTGGAACATTGTGTTAAATACCAGAAATTGACACACTGTAAATGACTGTACTTCAATTAAAAAAAAAAGTGACTTGACAAAGACAACTATCATATGGTATCAGTTACACGTGGAATCTTAAAAACAATAAAAATTAACTTATTAACAAAACAGACTCACGGACATAGAAAACAAATTTATGGTTAAGAAAGGGGAAAGAAGAGGAGAAGGATAAATTGGGAGTTTCAGATTTGCAAATATTAACTACTATATATAAAAGATAAACAACAAGGTCCTACGGCAGAGTACAGGGAACTATATTCAATAGCTTGAAGAATAACCTATAATGAAAAAGAATATGAAAAAATATATACATATATATACACACATATATATATGTATAACCAAGTCACTATGCTGTACACCAGAAACTAACACAACATTGAAAATCAACTATACTTCAATAAAAAATTTAAAAAAAACAAAGCTAGAGGCATCATGTTCCCTGATTTCAAACTATATTAAAAGCAGTAGTAATCAAAACAGTATGCATATTGGCATAAAAACAGACACAATGGTCAATGGAACAGAATAGAGAGCCCAGAAATACATCCTTGAATAAATGGTCAATTAATTTATGATAAAGGGGCCAAGAATATACAACGCGGACAGGACAGTCTCTTCAATAAATAGTGTTAGGAACTGGATCTCTATCTAAAATCATACACAAAAATTAACTCAAAATTGGTTAAAGACTTAAATGTAAGACCTGAAACCTGTATTTGTTTTTGTTTTTTAGATTCCACATATGAGCGATCTCATATGGTATTTTTCTTTCTCTTTCTGGCTTACTTCACTTAGAATGACATTCTCTAGGAGCACATAAAACTCCTAGAAGAAAATATAGGCAGTAAGCTCCTTGACATCAGTCTTGACAGTAATTTTTACAGATTTGACACCAAAAGCAAAGGCATCAAAAGCAAAAATAAGCAGGTGTGGCTACATTAAAGTAAAAAACTCTGCAAAGGAAATGATTAACAAAATGAAAAGGCAACCTACTGAGTAACAGGAGAAATTTTTTGCAATCATGTATCTGATAAGGGTTAATATTCAAAATATAGAGGGACTAATACATCGACAAAAAAACAGTTCAAATAAAAAAAAAGCAGAGGATCTAAACAGACATTTTTCCAAAAACAATATACAGATAGCCAACAAGCATATGAAAAGTTGCTCAGCATTACTAAGCATTAGGGAAATACGAATCAAAACCACAATGAAATACCACCTAACACTCGTTAGAATGTCTGGCACTGAAAAGAAATGGGAAGGGTGTGGAGGAAAGGGTACCCTTATGCACTGTTGGTGTGAATGTATGTTGGTATACCCACTATGGAAAACAGTATGGAGATTCCTCAAAAAATTAAAAATAGAACCACCAAAAATATATATATATATAATAGAACCACCATACAGTCAAGCAGTTCCACTTCTTGGTATTTATCTGAAGAAAATGAAAACTAACTTGAAAAGATATATGCAATTTCATGTTCATGGTGGCATTATTTACAATAGCTAGGTATGGAAACAACCTAAGTAAGCATCAATGGGTGGATGGATAAAAATCAATATGGTATATATGTATATATAGTATGTATGTATACACATACATACACACACAAATGGAATATTATTCAGCCACAAAAAATGAAATCTTGCCCTTTGCAATAACATCAATGAACCTTGAGGGTTTCATGCAAGTGACGTAAGTCAAGAAAGTAAAACACTATAATCCCACTTATATGTAAAATCTAAAAAAATAAAAACAGAAACAAAAAGTGAGCTCACAGGTTGATGGTTGCCAGAGGTAAGGGATGGGGGATAGGTGAAATTGGTGTAGGGGGTCAAGAGTGGCACAAACTTAAAATAAGTCATGGGACTGTTATGCAGATCAAGGTGATAATAGTCAATAATACTGTATTGCATATTTGAAAGTTGCTAAGAAAGTAGATCTTAAAAAGTGCTCATTGCAAAAAATGTTGTAACTATGTATGGTGATCGATTTTAACTAGACTATCTTATTTGACTATATATATAAATATGGATTCACTATGTTGTATATCTGAAATTAGTGTTATGTCAATTATACCTCAAAAAAAGTAAAATCCATAAAGGACACAAGAAACCAGATAGTTGCTCATGCTGTATCTCAGATTAAATATTTGTTTATTTAATTTCAGTTATATAAAGTACATACTCAAAAAATAGAAAGCACAATAACCCTATATGCTGCGTGGATTAGCTGCCCACTAATCCTCCAAGTACAAGAGAAGGATGGATCAATGGATGAATGGATACAATCCATGAATACTTATGTATTTTTTTCTTCAATTACTCTGGCCTTCAAAAAAAAGAGTCTAGAGTAAAAAATTGAGTCACTTAAAGTTATTTTTAGTTTATAAACTTGAAGGAGAAAAATTCAGTGTTTAAGCTAAATGAAATACAAAGGACCATCTTATTTTCCCCAGTGCCTGCCATCTTAAGCCTTTCTAATTCTGAAAAGTCTTTCCTCATAAGCCTCTCCTGATTGATCAGTTTTTTGATATTTAATCCAGAAAATAAAGAGCTCATTGATGGTTTTTGCCTTCCTTTCTTTTAGGCAAAGGAGGAAACTTCCAAGCCAAAATCTGATGGAAAAAATGCAAATTAAAGTTCACACTATTTGGTAAGTTGGGTGTTTGTTGTAAATGAAGACAAGCGTACCTTCTACCAGCCTATGTGTTACAGGTGAGAGAAACTAAGTCCACTTCTTGAAATTTCATGTTCTTTAGATACTATTGGCATGAAATGGACTTTGCAAAATCTATAGAGTAATTCTCTGAAAAGCAATAAATGGAGTAATAGTGCTACTGGAATGTTTAAAAACATTAATCTTATAATTAAGAGCTTTTTAAAATATTAGGCCAGGCTCTTAAAGAAAATGACCATCTAAGTCTAGTTGACTCTTTGAAACCCAAATGCTCATGGCTGTAGGTTACTGTGGCAAAGCAAAATGAGTAGGTTGTATCTTACAGTGAAATGGCCTTATGACAGTGCTATTACCCAAAACACAAGCACATGGTAGGGTAGGGAGAAGCATCCCCCTAGGGTCTGATGGTAATTACAGGGTTTTGAGAATGTGGCAAAGGAAAAGATTGACAACTGTTGTTCATCTTAGTTTTGGGATGTAAAGCACTGTTTGATTCTGCATAATGGTGACTGCAGAGCTGTTAGGGATGAGGGAATCTCTGAGATCTTTGAGAAATGGGCCCTTATCAGCCTCAGAGAGAAGAGGTATCATTCTCAGCCATAGAAGCTTACAACCACTTCCTGCCAAAAATCTAAAAGAAATCGAAATGTAGGTTAAATTGGATTAGGCGCTCTCACCATGGTCCTCTTTTATTTCCTATAAAGAGGGATGTATACTGATTAGCATTGCTCCAAAGATTTTTCCCAAAATTATAAAAAAAAATTCTATTAATTATCTACTCGCTTATCTATTTATAGGAAATTATCCCTTGTCTTTTATACAAAAGATTTTGCTAAATGTTACATTTATTATGCCTGCAACAAGAAAATTATATATCAAATGGTTCACTGGATTTTCTTCTTTGAATTTTTCAAGGTATCTGCATAAAAAATCTTCAGCTGGTAGATGGTGACTTTTGAAGAACAAAAGGCTTTGACAACAGAAAATTTTTCTAGGTGGCTTCTAGACAGTGGCCTTTGCTGAGTCTTTTGACATCCTAAACACTGTTCATTATTCTTTTCTTGGAAAGAAACTGAATTTGTCTGGTTCACCTGTGTTACTGTTCTGAGTATTGATAAACTTTGCATTTTTTAAAATTGCCTTCAGTTGGGAAAGAAAGGAACTTTATATTTCTAAGAGATAAATTTGATAGTTTCTTAAAGCAACACACACCAAAGGAAAAATCTTTGCAAACTTTTGCACATTCTACACACAGTGCCTGTAAATCTCATTAGTATTTTCAGTTCGCACTTTGTTGTTGTTATTGTTGTTAGCATTTGGAAAACAATGCTTTACATGTTCTTCAATGTTCTGAGTTCTCATTACCCCTTTCCTCTTGGGCTTTTGAACTATATAGATGTTTCTTTGGGTTAGTGTTTATGAGTCAAACATAAAATATTGTACATGGGGCACATATCTCCTCTTGAGCTGCTAAAAACAGATAACCTGGACAGACAAGGAAGCACCCCAACCCTTTTCAGGCTGAACTCTTCTTTGCCAGAGGTTAAGGCTTCAGCACCTTCCCAGCTAGCACAGACCTACTGAGACTTGACTCAAGACAGAGGAGCAAAATGCAGACTCTGTGTCACCACGTAGCAAGTTCCAAGAATAACAACATCTAATTTTTAGAATACATATATGAGGCTTGAATGCTGCTAGTTGATTCCATTAAGCTGTGTTTTCCATCCTCTCTCTCTAAAACCTGAGCAGCAGTTTTCTTAGAGCCATTGCCACATTAGTCTTTGCACTGTACAGCATCTAGCTTAATGGGAGTTGGCTTTACCAAGTACAAGAACAGACTTACGCTTTAAAAAAAAACCCAAGTTTAAAAATCTGCTTCCCACCCCACCCTACAGCAATTTAAGAACTAGGTTTTGATATCCTACAACTTTGAATGGTTTCTCATCTTTCTCAATGGTTTATGAACATAGCACTGATATCATTGATGAAATTAACTATTGATCAAAATCCCATCTTTATTTCCTGATAGTGAATGCAGGAAAAGTTACCGGGTACACATTATAAAATTGATTTGGAATTTCTTGTTTCAGAGAGCAAAGCCTTCCTTAGCATCTGTTTAAAGTTTTTATTTATTAGGACTTAGCTGACTTCACTAAAAATAAGTAATATCACCAATACTGTCTAAGGGGGATGGCAAACAAAAATAACACTGCTTATAATGGGCATCAAATTTCACTACTCTCTAAAAATTCTCTTTAAAAATCATGCATATACCTATGGGATTTCAAACTTCATCCATGTCAAATGCTATGTCTCCGTCCCATCAAAGATGCAGGCATTATTATTACAGATCTGGGAAATATAAGGCAGCGTTATAGTGAGTCAATAGACCTTTTCAAGGCACTAACAAGAAAATAAACACACTCCCTGAGGGATTTTATGTCTCTAATTCTTCCATTGAGTGGGTACAAAGTTGTTAAAAAAAAAGAAGTGAAACTTTTCATGTTGACAGGTATGTCTGCAAGGAGATGGCTGCAGTGTTAATTTCCATGCATATATACAAGTATTTTTAAATGACATACCAAAATCCAGAGATTTAAGAAATGCCCATAAAAGTAAACATTTATTTAAGGAACTCTAAATGTGCCTTTCTGTTTATTAGAAGTATCTTCAGGCTTGGGTGTTGGCTAGTAATTGATGATGACATGAATAAGCTACAGGCTCTAAATCGGTCCTTTTTTACCCATCTAATTTGAAGGAAATAATTGCAAACATCTGCTTAGAGGGAAATAACAATTTTTATTACCAAAAAAGGGTTTTGCACATTGTTGTGGCAATATGTCTATTTAGAAAATGGACTTCTCTGAAAATAAATGAAAATAGATTCCTCAGGTGACCAAAACTGAAAAACCACTATTTCCATGTTTCATTAATCAAGATACAAGATGCAATTAAAGAAGAATATTTTACATTAAAATCTTGGCTTTGTATGTTTTTCAGAAGGAAAATATGCAGGGGTGGAAATTACCAATGATTTCTGTTTTTTTTTTTTAATTTCTCAAACAATTAAGCATGCATACTTATGAAAATCAAACTGTAAACACATTTGTGTCCAGAAAAGTCACTCTATTCCACAGTGTATTAGACCAACACACTGACATTTTTCAAATCATACTCCTTTATCTTAAATTTTGTAATATATTTTTAAAAACTCATAAAAGACTTCAATTCCAAGACAATGCACTGTCTTCAGTTAGGCTAACAAAAGCAAGTATTTTCAGTTTCACAATACATTATCATTTACTAGAAACTCCAGTGACTTACTGGCAATAAGTGCCAGTAACAAGTTATTTGAGGATTGTAAACTAGGCCAAATAAGGAACAGGGAGAGGAAGCATCACCTACCTAAGGAGCAATAGCACTCAGATTCAACTTCAAATGAAAGGTTTCTTCTCTAGACCTGAATGCACTCTGCTTTTTCAGAAGAGACACTATCATTCAGGGTCCCTGAGGAAACAGATGGCACACTCCAATTAGCATTACCAGAGGAGGGTTCTACAAAAGTTGTTTGTTTTTAAACAAAAGCGAGGGCAGGATATATGGAAACCACAAGTACAGCCAGGACTAGTTAAAAGCCAGGCTGCCTCTTCACCCCTCCCTCACCATGAAGGGATGAGAGGGCAAAGGTTACCAGAACGCAGAGATGGAGAAAGCTGTGCAGGGGAACCCGGGGGAACGAACATCCCCACCTACTCTCTCCCCTACCCAAGGCTCTAATGTGCCCTCCTGGGAGATGGACCAAAAGCCAGAGGACCAGGAAGCCTGATGATGTGGCCCTACAGCAGGTCAGCTCCTGGGATGCAGCAAGGAAGGGAAAGTAGAAGGCAGATCCGGGGCATTCTGGCTCAGTCACTGCTCCAGAGGTTCACGGGTCAGGAGTCCCCACTGTTTGAAGTCTTCAGAGGAGACTTGAGAGACAGAACAGCTAATGAATGACAAACACATGGGGACTGGGGCATGGGGAGCAGGGCTTTGGAGACCACAGGGCTTGAGTATAAAATACAGAATGAAAAAAATAAGGTACTTTACTTCTCCATAGTAAGGAACCCACCACTTGAGTCTACATTTTGGGACAACACCTGTAATGAGACACGTGGTGGCAATGACCAATTGATGAAAAATTCAACAGCCAGTCTTCATAGGAAGGGTTAATGAATAAGCAGTTGAAGGAAAAAGAAGTATCTTCAGTAGGTGCCAAAATAACCACCTCTAGTTTGAAAATATTCACATTCAACCAAATTTTGAAGATTACACATCACAGGAACCAGCAAGAAACGAATTGTTACAACAGTTCAAGCTTTTCATTTTGTAGCCACACTCTGATTTTATCAAAATTCTTATCCATCCAACGTATGTTTTCCTCAATGGTTTCGATTGTTTGTTGGACACAACGGAGCTGAGACCCATTTTCCTTCAAAGAGCTGAAGAATTCTTTTACCTTGAGGAAAAAGTGGATTTTTTAAAATTGTGTTTTATTAAGTTGCGTTAATGTAAGTTTAGGTTAGTTAAAAGAAAACTGAAGCCAGAATTCCAGCATCTGTCAGAATTCTACACAGAAGGCAGGGCCAGGTGTCTGGATACAATTATCTACATAAACTTAAGCTCCATGAAATGAGCTCATGCCTCATGATGTCAAGTTTTGTCTTTTTTCTCTGCAGCTTTTTTATTTATTCACTGTTGCCAGATTCTAGAAGACTTAACTGTTTATCATTTTATAATTAAGTCATAATCAAGTGTATCTATTTAATGTGTATCTTGTTATATACGTACAGATGCAAACTTAACTTTTTTAAACATATCTGAAAAAGCAAAATGTGCAGAGTATCTTCCTTGCCAAGCAAAACAATTTCAGCCGCGTAAGTGCAGTCTTTCTCCATGGGCCTGGCCTTGTATTTTATTATAGAAACACTGCAGGGAGTGGGGTTCTTAACAAGTTATGGTGGTAATACCCCAAACCGTGCCAAACTTTTTTTACCCTAATCCACAATTCATGTATTGTTCCCACAAGATAAAATCCACACAAAGTTCCCTGTGGTTTTAAAGAGATAAGAAACACTTGGCTATGTCCTCAAAAATATCTTTGCTGTTGTTTTGCTGCAGGGTATTTTAAACCCCTTTAAGCTCACATGAGGAACAGGTTGGCTTTGCAACAGCACTGACCATTGTGCAACTCTGTTTCACCTTCAAGGGTTCTTAAACTTTTCCCATAAATTTTCACAGCATTAATCCATCAATTTTTGATTTCGTAGACAGGAAGCAAGTCTAGGCCAAGGTGTATTATTTATTCAGCATGGATTCCAGACAGTAATTCCTTAAAAATCCATGTCATAATATAAGTTTGGGAATAAGAGGAGAGTAAGAATGAGCTTTTGAAAGATCAAATTCCAATTTTAAATGACTCCGGGGTTGTTTTAAAATTAAATCTCAGTAGGACCATTCAGTGAGCAAAAGGCATGCCCTCCTGCTATAGCAACTTAGAGAACACCCCACTCGGCTGTCCTACCTTAAATTGTACCTCAGCCTACTGTTTTTGTTCTCTCAGAGCTTAAGATTAATTGATAGTCAATTTAAAAAATCACTGTGGGCACTCCAGTCAGACCACATCAATAATTTCACTAATTTGTCAAATTAATTAACCAATCCTGAAGGAGCCCCTCACTAAAACACAGACCTACAAGAGCTGTAACAAAGCCAACTTTTAACTCTTGCTCTCAGGCTTTTCCTAACTCAAAATGACCACTCCCACCTTCATCCATCTTGGGAAATGTGGCATCTCAACTGAGTAGGAGTTTGATTCAAACCTGCTTCCTTGACAACATTTTCTGTGCAATAAGCAGCCTGATACAGGTTTACCTTACTAGTTTGTTTGCCCTAGAGTAAATGATTTCACTTCTCTGGGACTCAGATTCCTCATCTGTAACACTGCAGAGCACTGGTTAGGATGTAGCTTTGTGATGTGGGTAAAGCCCACTTGAGGCTGTGAGTCAGGCAAGCACCCTACCCTCACGGAGCTTACAGTGTACTGGGGAGACAGGCAGTCAACTAGGATGACACTAACGCCACTGCTCTGGAGAAAATAAACCGGAGCTATGCCAGTAACTGGGGCAGGGGGGCCTGCTTTAGACAGAGTGCTCTGGGGAGGCAGCATTTGAGCTGGGACCTCTAAAGAATAAAATAAGCCTTTCCAGTCCAAAGTTGGTGAATAGGCAAGCCAGACGAAGAAATAAGTGCAGAGGCTTAGAGCCAGGACAAACACCCAGTGGCCCGGGAGCAGGAGGAGGCTGCGTGGCTGGAGCGGGCGAGAGAGTGCACACAGGAGCGCATGAGAACTGGCTGGACAGGTGAGCAGGGGCCAGGTGATCTCAGCCTCCTGCACAGGGGAAGGAGAGGTCTGCAATTTACTTCAAGAGTGACGGGCAGGTTTTCAAGAAAGGGTTAGTCATGAGTTGGTTTTCAGTTTTTAACCTTCTGACAGTATCTCAGGCTCTTTCATTTACATGCCCTGCCTCAGGGCTTTTGCACCTGACGTTTCCTCTGCACACAACACTCTCCTCCTAGACAGCTGTGTTTCCTTTAGTATCTGGCCAACATCTGCGCATCAGCCCACAGAACACAGCACCATCCCTTACCAAGTCGCTCTCCCTCCTACCTTGCCTTATTCACCTTCAGAGCATGTGACTACCTGACACAGGTTGAGTTGTCTGTAACTAATTCCCCCAGGAGAATTTAAGCTCTGAGGGCAGAGGCTTTGTCTCTCCTATTTCATCATCATAGCCCTGAAACCTAAAACCACCGCTGCTATAAAATAATGTGTCTGCTATAGAATATGTAATACGCCTTGAATGAATTAATGAGAAAATGAATGAATGAACAAGTCAATGAATGAAATGTTTTGTTGTTACAGATCTGGTCTATGGACAGCTGTGTATCTGGTCACAACCTACACATGGCTCTGCAGTCATCACACAGAATATCTCTGCTGTAGATCCCACTAGAGTTCAAACTTGAATTATTATGTGCAAGTTAAGTTTACACGTTTGGATGATGCTACTAAAAAACTGGACAAAAGATAAGGGTCATGACATCGCTTCTGCATTTTCAAAGCACTCTCCCTATACCAAGCTAGATCATGGTGTAACCAGACTACACAGTGGAACTATTCCTAAAAAAGTTAATAGGCTCTCAACTTTTATCTAAATGCAACATATTTTTAAAATCATGTCAATTTGTCCTACAACTTAACTTTAAAAAACATTACAGAAAAAGCCACCACAACAAAATGACCCATACACCAAACTCCAAGTTTAAGACCAAGAGAAAAATCAGCTTTTGTGGAAAACTTCTGTGGTCCATGGTTCTCTCTTAACTGACAATGAAAATAACTCATACTGTTTTCTCATTTTTCTTTGGCTGATGGAGAGCTGTGGTAAATTTGGGGTGCAACTGCAATAAATTATCCTCAACATAAATCACTCATACAGTTACCTCTTTCTGAACATCATGAGGCTTTTTGTTCTTTAACATTATTTTATACATGGACCTTATAATTTGCCCAAAGTTCCTTCTGAAAGTAGTTGGTACGCACATAGGAAATCATGAACCTGAATAGGTCTTGTTTCCAGATCTGCCTCTTTCAAAATAACTAGGTGATCACTTCAGCCATCTATATAATGATCACTTTTAACACCCTAAACAGGGAATAAATGTCTACAGTAATTTTTTAAGCCCTAACATTTTTAGTGGCAGAGCTAAGACTTCTTAACGTGGGTGGGAAGAAGCACAGTTTCCAGCAGTTTACGTGTAATGGATATTTGCTCATGCCCCAAACACCACACTGAACAAAACACACATCCAAGAAGAACATACATCCAAAAAGAACATCTACTAAGTGACAAAATCCATTTCTAACTCACTGGATCCTTAAAGTATTTTATCTATCTCATATTTACTAGATAGTTTATTAGCTAATTGTCACTTAAGTTTAAAAAGAAAGCTTTTTATTTTTTTACCTCTTCAAGCCGTGCTCTCGTGGAAAATTGGTTTGTTGTTCCCACGACCATGGAGGCTATGGAACTCGAGCCAAGTTCAAACCTAGAAACAGAAATTGTCAGAAGGCATCATGACATATTTGTTCATTCGACATGTATTTTTAAGTGCCTCCTGTATGTCATAGCAATTAACACAAAACTAGTTAGGACATGAAAAAGATGTGATCCAATGGATTAAGGTCTAGTTGTAAATATAAGCACACCAGCTGGTGAACAGAAGATTAGGTACCCAAAAGACAATCACAGAAGCAATAAGTGCTACAGAGTTTGACAGAAGCAGATGTACCGAGCGGAAATAGTGAACATAAGACATGGCTGAACTGTGCAGAGGAAGGCTTCAAACAGGTCACCGGGTGCAGGAAGAGAGTATTCCTGATGGAATGAAAAACCTGACTATTCAGATGCATTAGTTAGTATTAAATTACAGTTTCATATTTTCTAAGGATATTTCAAGTATCTCTTACTCCTATCTTCAGTCAAAAAAAAAAAATCCCTGTAAGTTTCCACTGTTAGCCAGCTTCAGGAATTTTCCCAGTCATGGCACAGTTTTTGGCACTACTTACTTTTGTACAAGATTATTCCAATTTTCCCTCAGAAACTTCCAGGCCAATGGATATCCCACCGGGTTTCTGCCAACAGCTCTAAGAATATCTGGAAACTCTTGAGTTTTTATTACATCTCCCTTAAAACTTTGCTCTAGTAGCCTAGAATAATTAAGAGAAGAAAATGTCAGCAATGAATAGGCCCTGAAAAAGTAATGAACAATTTTAATAAAATAATATGTGAAAGGAGAAAGCCAACCTGCCAATAATGAAGACCAAAAAGATAATTAGGTATCAGAGCCCTCAGAAGCTCACTATAGCTACATAATAAGAAAAACTAACATTAATACAATGTTTACAACACCCATTCCCATATCCTCTCATTTGCTCAGAAGAGTAGCTAAGATAAGTATCTCTCCTGTGTATTTCTAAATGTGTTATTTCAAAGATACACAAATACATACTCCTTTAAATATTTTTCCTAACACTCGCTGCTCCCTAGTTATTTACCATACTCATTAAATGTGTGTCCTCTTGCATAAATGTTCCTAGCAAAAAAAAAAAAATGCAGTTCCTGGCCAAGACCAAAAATAAATGCCAGAAGGATCTGATCTCATTTAATTCCTCTTAGCTACATGAACATGAATGAATTACTCACCACTGAAGCTTTTCTTTATTTTGACTAATACAGAGAGCAAATTCAATTTGGTTTTTCTCGGTACTGGACAATGATGACTGATATTTACTATAAAGAAAGTCCCATCCTTCAGGGTTCTGGGCCCCCACAGCAAACACGGCCAAGGTCACATCATTGGGCAGGCTGTGGAAGAGAACACCCCAGGTGAGAGTCTGAGATGAAGGAAATGTGTCTGGATGCACAACAGTGGCCAATTATGAAATGATAAACTGGGCCCATGATCAGAGAAGCATGCTTGGAAATATAAACAGAAATAACCTCTTTCCTTCAGTTACATTTTATGAAAGAGGCAAGAGAAAGTAACTGAAAAGAGATTTTAAGTAGCTTTCCCCAAAATATAATGTGAAATGCCACTTCTATAAATACCTACGTATCTAACATACTTGAATGATGTCGGGTGACTCAATAGGTGGTCCCTTTTAAAGCCGAAAGAAAAAATTCAAACTAGACTCAAGATGCAGTCCATGAACAAAAGTCAGGAATCCAACAGGACCACTGTTTATAGTACTTCTTTAAATGGAAGCATATACAATTGTTAGCTTAATATTTTCTGGATGGGATTTAAGCCCCAAAAGGACTTAAGTAATCAAGAATCAATTTCCAGACACAGGAAGATCCTACTTGGCTTAGATAGTGTTAGCAACTACCAAATAACTTCCCCAACTCCCCTCCCTCCTCGTCAGGGACTCGAGAGGCCCTGCCTCTGTTCCTGTCCAGTACAGCTGTCTCAGTTTTGATACGGTTTTGTCTCCTTGGCTATAAAACAGCTATTATTATAATCCCATCCTAACCGTCTGGTTATTTGACTTTTGTGCAAAGAAATTCCTTTCTAGCATTTCTTAAAACAGAAAATTGAAAGAAAAATAGATAAATCTTTAAAACTATATATATTTTCCCAGAAGAGGCAGTGGGAGGGACTTGTCTATACCTGTTTTTTCTCCCCATGCACTGATGATGGAAAACAGAAAAGATACCCTTTACGTAACAGTCTGGTTGTTCGGTAAAAACAGACCTCAAGTTTCCATTGGCTTCCTTCCATTCTTTGAAATAGGCTTCTGCCCTCTGCACGCAGGGCTGATACTTGCGCACGCAGGCCAGGAGGAGCAGCTGACTCCGCAGCATTCGCTCTGAGATGGAGCCCTCGTCCGTCCACGTCTGCTTATCAATGAGGTCCCTCAGTAGCCTGATGAGAAAGGCCTGCAGGAAAGCCACACGTGTCACCAGTACGGTCTCGGGTCATCTTGTGGTTTATATGATGTGGTTTACACCCCAGGTAATGGGGATTCTTTGTAAAGCTTAATCCAACTCTTATTTTCAAAACCTGGCAGTTCTGTTTACCTCATTATGAAAGAGGCCCAATGCAAGAAATGATGAACGATTTCAGAATGTGCCTAGCCATCCTTTTTATAAATACATCCTTATCTACTCAAAATCAGGATGAACTGCCACTTTTTAAAACAAACTAAAAGAGACAGTTGATGTGACTTAATTTGGAGAGCAAATTATGTAACAAGACTTCATGACATTTTGCCAGAATAATTCTGTGCCTCTTCCTCAAGTACCCGAGCCCCAGAAAATCTTAATAGCCACCACCACAATACAGAAGTAAAATGAAATTAAGGATTAGCCAAAGGAAGGGAGTAACAAATCCATGAAAATTAAGTACAGAACCTAACAGTGCCGTGCCTAGTTTCAGTGCCAAAATAAAACCAAAGTGTTTGCTCGTCAACCCAAATACTGAGGTAATTTTGATTTACTTTTCTTTAATATATATCAAGACATAAGTATATAATATACACAATGGTAAGAACTCTTCTCTGCACCCACACAAAAGCAAACCAGTTATCTAACCATTCAATTTATTTCAGGCTTTTACCTTGAATTGCGTTTCCACTTCATCCATATCTCTCTTCTCCATTAACTTATACATAGGTATCAGCTCATTCATACCTTGGAACACCGGCATAATTTCAGTTTCATGTTTCAAGTACAGGGTTAAATCCAAGGCTTTTTCAATTGATACCTTTCCAATGCTAGTCAAGAGATGCCAGGGTTAGCAGTTTAAAAGGAAATCAACTATTTGTTTCAAAAGATATTTTAACAATCTCCTAGCAAAATATTCAATTAGATATAAATACTCTCTTATAAATAATGACCTTGAGATTACTATCTTTCCTGTCACAGACAACAGAACATCCAGTGTGTTCACATGGTGAAGGAACTTTCTCAAACAACAGAGCTAGGGTTAACTCGTGGCTAAGACGAGATGGAAGTATGTCAGCATCTGTCCCTCTGTGAAACATCGCACTGTGTGCTGAACTTCCAGAGTAGTTGGAAGGGGAATTTGATCAAAGAGGATTCGTCAGGGACTGCCTCTTAGTCCGAAGTATGAGTCCCAGGAGTCAACACATCCTCTTCTCCATTTCAAAAAGAAACTGAATGTAGACGTAAACTCTTCACTCACTATACAGGGTTGGTGTTCAAAGCCTTGGTGGTAGGGTATATGCTCATATAAGTAAACACAAAGCCCCCTAAAATTTAAGCAGTAATAGGCTATGCAAGGGAATGTATTTAGGCAGGCAGGAACGGCTAGGTAAGCAACCCCTATCTTTA